AGTGCAAAACCGTACTACGGAATATAATATTATTTTTAAATTTTATTATTAAGTACTCTTAAATACTTATACTTTTAAATTGTACTTAAAATATGAAGTACCTCTCATTAACCTATATTTGTAATAGTATTAAGCATTTATATAATAAGTGCGTGTTGATAACATTTAGTTCTAACTAAGTAAGCGAACTCCAATTAATGAGTTCTAATTATTAGCATACACTAAGCACTATTTTGTTAATTTACTTTATTACCCCTTAAATAATTTTAACTACTTTTATTATCCATGTTAATCATATGTATAGGTAATATTTCGATAATATTGTAAAATCTGTATTCCGTTTTTTTTTCTATTAAATAAAATTTTGTTTTTCCAAAATTGAAAATAAGTCTTATTTTCCAATTTTTTTAATAAAAATTGAAAATAAGTCTTATTCTCCAATTTTTATTATATAAATTAAAAATAAGTCTTATTCTCCAATTTTTATTATATAAATTGAAAATAAGTCTTATTCTCCAATTTTTATTATAAAAATTGAACGCAAATATCTTTTAAACCAATGCGAATATGGGCCAAAATCTAAAACAGGATTGATCTTCGAGTCAATACCTTTCATATGAGCTATGACATGACTATGTCCAAGGATATTTTAAGGACTTATAACGCCTTTTAATGTTTTATATATGTAACTTCTATGTTCGGTGGAAGTACATGACGTCAAAAAAAAAACCATTTAGTACCAGAAAATCCAAATGTTAAGAATAAATATCCCAGTCGAAATGCACCTGTCCATCTGTCTGATTTTGCATAAAGTAATTAAAAATGAAAGTAGCGAATTTTCCAATTATTTAAAAGTATATTTAGTTAAGTTAAGTTATGTATGATCCACACAAATAAATCCTCTTGTTCCTAAGAATTCGCGGTTTTTTAAGAATCGACATAGAATACATATTTAGGTATCTGAAGTTATGTAAGATACACAAAAATATATATATAAATATATAACTTAATATATAACTTAATATAATAATATATAACTTAACTTAACTAAACATACTTTTAAATAATTGGAAAATTCGCGACTTTCATTTTTAATTACTTTATGCAAAATCAGACAGATGGACAGGTGCATTTCGACTGGGATATTTATTCTTATCATTTGGATTTTCTGGTACTAAATGGTTTTTTTTTGACGTCATGTACTTCCACCGAACATAGAAGTTACATATATAAAACATTAAAAGGCGTTATAAGTCCTTAAAATATCCTTGGACATAGTCATGTCATAGCTCATATGAAAGGTATTGACTCGAAGATCAATCCTGTTTTAGATTTTGGCCCATATTCGCATTGGTTTAAAAGATATTTGCATTCAATTTTTATAATAAAAATTGGAGAATAAGACTTATTTTCAATTTATATAATAAAAATTGGAGAATAAGACTTATTTTTAATTTATATAATAAAAATTGGAGAATAAGACTTATTTTCAATTTTTATTAAAAAAATTGGAAAATAAGACTTATTTTCAATTTTTATAATAAAAATTAAAGAATAAGACTTATTTTCAATTTTTAATTTAAAAATTGAAAAATAAGACTTATTTTTAATTTATAAAATAAAAATTGAAAAAAAAGGTTTATCACGTTTTCCCATTTGCCGAACCATACTAAGTAAGTGGTTTTTTTCCCTTATTTTTTGGACGCTATTTTGACTATCAATTTTTTTAAACTCATAACACTTATTTGCAGTCCTTGATAAAAACGAAAGATATCGCTTTTTAACGATAGACGGCGATACATTTCGTCGAAGTTGTCTACTTCAAAATATATTTTGATTATTTTTTCGGAAACTGGCTCTTTCTTTGCTTCTGGAATAGTCTGCATGTCATCCAAAAATGCAGAGAAAAGTGACTTTTCTTCTGATGCAGATGAGGATGAGGAAGAGGGGTCCATATCCAGATTAGCTTCATCAATTGTCTGCAATGTAACAGTTTGTGCGGAGGGAACCTTTAATAATAAATCAAATTATGTTGTAATTTATTGTTTACAATAATAATAAAAACAGGTGTTAGTGTGTGACGAGGACAATTCTACTTATTAAAACTAAGAACACACATCTAAAAGCATCTAAAACATAATGGACACAGGACCTATACTTCAATAACACTAGTTTACAAAATAATATTCTTGGAGAGCTCCAAAGCAATTGATGGAAAATTCTGTTAGTGTTCGACCCCCAAATCACGAAAATTCTACTAATTTTTTTTCGATGGCACAGTTTTTTTTTAAAGATTTTTTAAAGTTCAAAATGTTAAATATCGGACATTTTTCGAATTTCTTTCTATATCTCGGCAAATATCCACCCAATTGGGCCAGTTTTTGTTTCATTATAAAGTCAATAGATCAGAGTTTAACTTTGCCATACAGATCAATATGATTGGATAAGTAATGGCAGCGCAGCAGCTCGACAAAGATGAAAAATGTGTTTTTTGGTCGTAAAAACTCGAAATAAATCCGTTGAAAAATTATAATGGGTACAAACTTAAAGTTTACATCCCACCGGACAAAACAAGCCGAGTATGGCCCAAATTCATAAAAAATTGGATTTATGGTGGATTTTTAAAGTTCGGATTTTTCAACTTTTTTCGGTTGACAAAGTTCAAATTTTAGTTTTATCCTAGGCGGCGACATGTAAACAAAAATGAGTGGTGATGGCAGCCGGGTCAAAAAATAGCTAAATCAGATATTTAAAAGCTAGAAAATTATAAAAATGAATTTAATTTTTAAAAATTCCTTAAAAAATATAAAATTGCTTGCGTTATGACTGTGAGTATTTTTAATAAGTAATATCCTTTCAAAAAAGCATCGAAAACAAAAACATACCGTTTGCCTTCGCTCCATTTAAGTAATGTCAAGCGGCAATATTCGCAAATTCTCCTCGGTAAAGTAGAGGAAATATCGACCTTCTACCTCACTGTCAAAGGGTCGAAATGTATTGCTCATAATAAATTTACCACACACATTGCAAAAAGTGTCTGGACCATTTAAGCAATTGTATTCCTTAATTTTATTCAGTATCACACACAATCACAAGCACAATCCTCTTTTTTTATTCGTAGTCTTATTTTCGTTTTTTGATACTGCAGTACTTATTAAAAAAAGCATGCTTTTTTTGAAAGTATGGTTATTTCATAAGAATGATTTATTCAAATGGATATTACTTATTAAAAATACTCACAGTCATAACGCAAGCAATTTTATATTTTTTAAGGAATTTTTAAAAATTAAATTCATTTTTATAATTTTCTAGCTTTTAAATAAATTTAGCTATTTTTTGACCCGGCTGCCATCACCACTTATTTTTGTTTACATGTCGCCGTCTAGGATAAAACTAAAATTTGAACTTTGTCAACCGAAAAAAGTTGAAAAATCCGAACTTTAAAAATCCACCATAAATCCAATTTTTTTTGAATTTGGGCCATACTCGGCTTGTTTTGTCCGGTGGGATGTAAACTTTAAGTTTGTACCCATTATAATTTTTCAACGGATTTATTTCGAGTTTTTACGATATATACAGCCGACCTACAGAGGACCAAAAAACACATTTTTCATCTTTGTCGAGCTGCTGCGCTGCCATTACTTATCCAATCATATTGATCTGTATGGCAAAGTTAAGCTCTGATCTACTGACTTTATAATGAAACAAAAACTGGCCCAATTGGGTGGATATTTGCCGAGATATAGAAAGAAATTCGAAAAAAGTCCGATATTTAACATTTTGAACTTTAAAAAATCTTAAAAAAAAAACTGTGCCATCGAAAAAAAATTAGTGGTATTTTCGTGATTTGGGGTCGAACACTAACAGAATTTGCCATCAATTGCCTTGGAGCAGTTTGGCTGTAAACTAGTGTAACACTCCGTCTTACTTGGTTCAGCTCAAACAGGCGAAAAGGAATTTTTTTAAATTTTGCTTTGCCAACCATTTTTGGTGTTCTGTTAAAACGCAGTTTATATATCTTATACATCTATATCAAATAATATATTTTTATTTGGACGTTACTTACCTATGAGTTTCAGTGTGCACTTTTTTGCATATTTTGCGGCAGATGCTAATTTTGTCGCTAATCTCGTTTAGCTTATTAATGTCATAGACACACAGCTGAAGTGTGTGCGCAGCACATCGTACGAGATGAATGTTCGCCAAGTCCAGGTCATTAAGCTTTCCCATTAAATTTTCCCCTCCAGTGTCATCCTCGAAAAGGGTCTCCTTTGTGTCGTCATTTAATATTTGAACGGCTTTAACCATGTTTCTCCCGTTATCAGATGTAACACTGTGTGTGTACAATTTATTAAAGTCATATGCAAAATAAATGGAATTTTTACTTGAAGATTTGATCCAGAATTATTCCGTAATCGTCAAGAATTTCCAAAGTTTTTATTATCTCAGTCTTGTTAATGTTTGTGTGAATCATTTGCATGTTCACACCTAGAACCGCTTTGTCCTTGTTGCCACGTCAATTTTTAGCGACATTAGCTTTCCCTTGACCGAAGCCCTTATGCCGTCTTTGATGGAATGTTCTCGAGCGGACACGAAACTCATACGGGGGTGTCACAGAAAACCATTCCAACCGAATTTCCCCCGAATATCAAATCTCGGTGTCACAGACGACACTTTTGACGGTTTCTAAATTCCACGTATTTTGGCGGACGTTTTGATCAAATTAACCAACTTACAGATGTTTCCCAAAAATATAACTTTATTTAAAGCAACTCTAATGAATTTTATGAACTAACTGCATTCTACGATTTTTATAGCTACTTCGGGTTATATTTAAAAATATGCGTTTTATAGAACCTCTTGGTCGTCAGCCGTCGGGTACACAGGGGGACCAACGGGGGACTCGTCCCCTGCCGTAACTGTGTGCACCGATGGTAGTGCGACTATACTCTCCCCGTGAGGCCGTTGGAAGCAGGTCCATAGCCTAGCTATGACTATGGATGCTGACGAATCGTAGTCGGGCGTACCTGGGTAGGTCTTTAAAGTGCCCTCAAGTCATGCGTATCAAGCGACCCGTGCCCACTGACTTTCAGGTTTGCAGCTGAGGGGTAAATCCAGCTGTGTTTTAACGGAGCCTTCCCAGGGCCGGGCAACCCTGGGTCGGAAGTGGCCTTGCCGTGGCTTTGGGGCGGAGTCACGGTCGACCTTTTCATAGAGCCCCAACAACCCTCAGGCCCGCCGCGCTTGCCTGGTCGAGCAACGCGGGCGATTATGTTTTGAAAATTAAACCTAACACCGTAGCTTCGGACCTCACGGGGGAGGTTAAACCCCAAACCGATTCCGCTACCATCGAGGAAGGGCCGCGAACACCCAGCCAGGGTGCTCCGGCTCCGATGGGAACGGAAGGGGCTGCTAAGACCAGCACCCCACTAGACACCAAGAACTACAACCCACACAACAGCGGAACCCAGCCGCGTAACAGCAAGGCAGCCACTGTTACGCATCAGCAGCGCAAGGCCAAGGTCAGCCGGGGTCGCTTTATTCTCGGCAAGATATCCAAGAATGAGGCAGAGGGCAAGACTGACCAGCGCGATGCGGAGGACAAGACTCGATGCCTTGCGGAGATCGCAGACTTCGAAGAATACATGAGGACGCGCCCGGAGGCCACTGAAACCAACACAAAGAGGGACCGCTCGCACGAGGCAAGCGTCAGCGACGTAGCCAGAGACAGCCTCGCGATGGCACTGGTGGACGACCTGCACGACGACGGACGCCTGCTGTCGGAGAAGTGGGAGGAGATCGAGGTCAAGGTGGCCGACATGATAGCAGAAAGGCTATCAGCCGTGCCAGATGGTCCGATCCCCTCCTTCGACTCGTCGGACATGGTCAGGGGGCACCGGGTGATCAAGTGCGATGACTCGTTCTCAAGGACCTTCCTGGCGGAATGCATAGCCAAGATTGGAGATGCATGGGACGGCCTTAGTATTAGGCTCGTCCACGCCAAAGAGATTCCAAGGAGGCCGCGGGCTCGCATTTGGTTGCCAAAGGAGCAGACTGACCAAGGAAAGGTGCTGTCGCTGCTGAGGGCTCAGAACCCAGAAGTGCACACAGAGGACTGGGCGATACTTAAAGAAGAGAAGGAGATGAAGACGAGCCAGCCGTTCCTCTTCCTTATCAACCAGCGCTGCCTGCCGCAGCTTGAGAAGGCCGACTACACCATCCGGTACGGTTTACGGAAGGCCAAGATCAAGGTCTTTCTGGCAGAGCCGGATGATGTTCTCGAGGAGGTCGATGACACCAACAAGCTGTTGGATGACCTGGTCATCGACGACAAGACCCCAGACGTAACACCCAACACCGATGCCTAATGTCGTACAGATTAACCTGAAGCGCAGCACGCATGCTTCAGCCAATCTTGCAGTTCTTCTCAGTGAGAGGAACATTGACATAGGCATCGTTCAAGAGCCATGGACTCGAGACGGACAAATTTTAAGTCTAACACAACAAGGATATACACTCTTTTATACTAACTCGACAGGTAGGCCGAGAGAAGGTATTATTATAAAGAATAACTATAACGCAATTCTATTCCCCAATCTTAGCACACCGGATCTAGCAGTTGCCAGGTTCGTGGCGGCGGAGGGGTCATCGATGGTGATAGCCTCATCCTACATGGCCCATGATGAACCGGCTCCACCTGAGCCAGTCATCAAGCTGCTGCAATGGGCGAAAGACACAAAGACTACTCTTGTGCTCGGATGAGACGCTAACGCGAGGCACACACTATGGGGAAGCTTGGAAACCAACGAAAGGGGCGAGTCTCTTTTTGATAATATTATCTGCCGCAACATCACCATATGTAATAGAGGTAACACACCCACCTTTATATTCCCAAGCACAAGGGAATTTCAGGGATGGGAAGAGGTGTTAGACCTCACTTTAGAGACAGAATTTAGTAGATATAAAGTTGAAAAGTGGGTAGTGTAGAAACAAAATTCCTTTTCAGATCACAGGTACATTTTCTTCGAAATTTCGATTACGATTAGCAAATCGGAACCGAAACGTAACCCCCGTAGAACAAACTGGGACAAATTCGGTAAGATTGTCTACTCGAAAGTTATCAACAGAAGAATACGGGTACAAACCTCTACGACGACCCTGGACAAGGAAGTAGAGGACCTAACAAACATTCTAAACAAAGCATATAAGGAAACCTGCAAGGTTTCATACTCTAAGAAACAACACCCTTTATGGTGGACCAAAGAGCTTTGCACTCTGAGAAAGATGGCAAGAAAAGCCTATAACTCTAGCTATGCTACCAAAGAATGGGAGCCATACAAAGAAGCACAAAAAGCATACAAAAAAGCGATATACGCAGCCAAGAAAGACTCTTGGAGGACTTACTGCGAATCGCTCGAAGATATAAAAGACTCGGCTAGACTAAGCAAGGTCCTTGCTAAAGGTTTTAAATGCCCAACTCTATTACACAAACAAGACGGATCAGCGACTACAACAGTGGAAGAATCCCTAGAGACACTAGTGGATACAGACTTTCCAGGTAACCTTCGAGAAAAGCCAGCACCTACTGAATGTCAGAGGGCTCATCAACCAACACACACAAGGGATATCATAACCATTGAAAGAATCAACTGGGCGATAAACTCTTTCGATAAATATAAGAGTCCGGGGCCAGACGGCATTTTCCCGGCAATGCTTCAAGCAACACAGGTCAGCATCAGTAGGTGGCTGAAAGCCATTTACATGGCTTGCATCAGACTAACACACAACACACAAGGTCATATCCTGGCAAAGGATTGCAGGTCGATCAGCCTTACCTCCTTCCTAATGAAAACGCTGGAACGAATGATCGATATTCATATCCGGGAAAACCGAGAAGCAGCATCTATCGGACGCTCAGCATGCGTACCAAAAGGGCAGATCGGCAGAAACGGAACTACACGAAGTAGTCTGCCACATAGAAAAATCGCTACATTTTAACCAATATACAATGACCACCTTCTTAGATATAGAAGGTGCGTTCAATAATGTAAACGCTGAATCCATACTGAGCTCCCTCAACTCGATCGGCATTGAAGGAGACATCAGGGCTTGGATCGGAGTTATGCTTACGAGCAGGACGATAACAGCCGATCTGAGTGGCACTTACCACGCTTTGTGGAGAGAGGCACACCTCAGGGCGGGGTTCTATCGCCACTGCTCTGGCTTATCAACATGAACGACATATTGAGACAACTCAATAGCGGAGGAGTAAAAGTAGTAGCCTACGCAGACGACGTAGTGTTGCTAGTATCAGGACCATTCCCAGATGTCATTAGTAACATAATGACGGGGGCTCTTACCCGACTCAATGAATGGGCAAAAACCTGCGGACTAGGTATAAGCCCGAGTAAAACCGAACTGATGCTCTTCACGCGAAGAACAAAGATCCCAACATACAGCAAACCAAAAATAGATGGAATCGAACTCGAGCTATCGGGTAAGGCTAAGTATCTAGGAGTGATACTTGACCCGAAGCTCTCGTGGAAACTGAACATCACGGAATGAGTAAGAAAGGCCAGCATAGCATTCTACTCGTGCAGGAAAATGTTCGGCAAAAACTGGGGAGGAAACTGGGTTATACACCCTAAGATAATATATTGGCTTTACACAGCAGTGGTAAGGCCAATCCTCACATACGGGGCACTAGTCTGGTGGCCAGCCCTGACAAGAGAATACAATATTACCAAGCTGACAAGAATACAGAGATCAGCGTGCGCAGAAGCTACAGGGGCATTAAGATCATGCCCGGCTGCCGCGTTGAACACTATTCTGGATATAATGCCGATAGAACTTTTCATAAAGGATACGGCAGCGCAGAGTGCGGCCAGACTGAAGGCAAGTAAATGCTGGAAAGGCTACCACACAGGGCACTGCCGTGTCTTAGAGGACAGCAACTATCTGGCAAAGAACCATTCCAACGAGGGAGGAACCGGACAAGATGAGGTATCACTCTACGGTGACGGCTCCAAGATGGACTGTGGTGTAGGGGCTGGAATTTTCGGGAAAAGCTGGGGAATAGAATCGAAATTCCACCTCCCAGAATCAGCGACAGTTTTTCAGGCTGAGGTACTTGCTATTTTAGAATCAGCCAAGCTTTCGATTCAGCAATGCCTCAGGAATAACAAGTTAGGATATACTCTGATAGCCAAGCGGCTGTCAAATCTCTCGCAGCAGCAAGAACCAACTCGACACTAGTAGTCGATTGTAAGTCGGCTCTTAACATACTAGCAACAAACAACTATGTACAGATAACATGGGTGCCAGGGCACAATGATATACCAGGAAACGAAAAGGCGGCTGAACTTGCACGAATGGGGTCGGCAGACGACTCCCACTAGTCTACCTGAATCCCTAAATACAGTCCAAGCAAGGATTCATGAACACTACAAAACACAAGCTAGTCGGAAAGGCAGGGTCTCAGGAGATCAAAACTCTGCTGGCCAACCATCAATAGCAAGAGAACTCGAGAGCTAATAACCAAAAGTAAAAGGGATATTAGAAGGATCACGGCACTCATCACAGGCCATTGGGCCATTGGCACGCAAGCCATGAAGATGGCGCTTCCGTACAACGCTAATTGCAGAAGCTGCAAAGAAAAAAACACAGGAGACACCTGAGCACATGATGTGTCATTGCCCAGCACTAAACCATATCATGGCGAGATACTTCGGGGCGTATCAGCTGGAATCATTGGGAGAAATAGGAAAGTAGAGGATAACTGCAATCCGAGGTTTTCTAAATGACGCAGGCTGGTACTGAAGAGAACAACAATTTACGAGGGTGTGGATCAAAACGGAGCTCAGCTCTTCTTGGAGGTCCTTAGAAAGGACCTCACTACTTCTACCTACCTACTATAAAACCTCTCAAAAAAATTAGCTAAAAAAAATTCGTCGGCAAACCGTCTACCTGGCAGGGTTACCAACTAGCTAGAACTTTAAAATACCAAATTTGTCAAGATTTCAGAGTTGACGAATTATTTATTCAAATGTACTAAGTATTGTAGTTAAAAATGAAACTTATTTGGTAAAAATTTCATGGTAAAAGAAGTTGTAGGTTTTGAGAAATTAATAAAAACAGGACGCCTTTTCAAAAAGTTGGCATCACTGTCGTGAAAAAATGTCCTATTTTTGACGGGTAAAACGCCGGCTGTGAAGAAAAAGAAGATATGTAAGTAAACAAGTACAACATTTTTGTTTGTTATTAATTTAAACTAATAAACGTTGCTAATTTTCAGGGGTAAACATAGGTCACCAGCGCAAGACGCTATATTCTTGCGATTCATTCGCGATAATATCGACATTGCCAAAGGATTTACTTGGGGCGACCGCGTTCTGGTGACCACCGCTTGGGAGGACCTGGCCAGTGAGCTAAATGCCCATGGACCACCGTGTAAAACCGCTGACGGGTGGCGCCGAGTAAGTATATAGTATGTACTACATACACACTTGTCTATTAAATGTGATTTTTGGTAAATAAATTAAGGTTTGGAAGGATTGGAAGCAGTCGATAAAAAAAAGATTGCGATTAACAAAAAGGAATAGCTGGGGCTGAGGCTTTTGGGTTAGGCAAGGAAGACGAGCTCCCAGCCCCTTAAGGTAAACCCATCGATTTACAATTTTTAATTTACAAAGCTTCAAGGCCTTGAAAGGAAATCAGTGCTGCCCCCCAAAGTGAAGACGAAGACATGGTCGAAGAACCCGCCATCTTCCAATTGCCGCGAGAGTCTCCAACTCCAAAAAGAAATTCCAAGGCTGGATTTCATTTAAATGGAAACGCCGATCTCAGCACCCTTGTAGCCGAAGAAGGTGCAAAGATAGCTAAAATGACTGAGGGTATTAAGAATTTAAATAAGACCCTAAAGGATGGCAAAGATGCCATTGTAAAACAAATGATAAAGCAAAATGAACTTATTGCGGAAAACAATCGTTTGTTAAATTTATTAATAAATAAAAACATCTAGCAAAAAAAATTTAAATACAGCTTTTTATTCAAATTATGTTCAACGGCGCCTTAATGTTGCTTTGATTTCATCTCGAATACTCGATGCTTCTGAAGGTCCATTATTTACTTCATTTACATCTTCCTCAATCGCATCATTTTGATTTTTGTACCTTTCAACATCGAAATCCGGGTCATTGCGATCACGGCAAAGGTTGTGGAGCGCACTGCACACATTAATAATGCGGCTAACCTTTAAGGGGTGGTACAACAAACATCCTCGAAGGGATCGAAATCTGCTCTTAAGAACACCAATGGTTCTTTCTACAACATTTCTGGCCGACGCATGGCGAAGGTTAAACAAATGTTGACCAGTTCCTGCAGCTGGGCTTCGATAAGGGGTCAAAACGAAAGGTTCCAGTGGATCCGGAGTCCCCAAGAAGCCAGCTTCCACGGACCCACTATCATATTTTTGTTGCAGAAATTCTCTGGCCAGGCTCATATTCCAAGCAAATGAATCGTGAGTTGCCCCTGGCATTACCGCATCCAAAAAGAGTATTCGTAGATTATAGTCATAAATGTGTAGAGTATATCAAACTTAATACTAATAAAGCCTTAAGGAACGACATTTAAACAATTGACATGGACAAAAAGCTATTTAACTACTTAAACGTAATACGCACAGATTGCACATCAAAATATCAACTCACAATAGTTGCATTTATGCTAAAATACCCTTTCCTATTCATGTAATGGGACTCTCCTTCATTTGGCTTAATTATTTTTATATGGGTGCCATCAATACATCCAATAACTCCAGGAATCCCGTACTTATTGTAGAAATGGGTTTTAGATTTGACGATAGCCTCATTGGTTTGGTCAAATTTAATGAATTTTGGGCAAAGAATCCTTTCCATCAAGGGAAGAACATCCCCTAATATATCCCATATTAACCGTGGTTCTAGAAAGGGCCAGGTCAGAGTCCTTCCCAATTACTCTTTGAAAGGACCCAACTACCAGGAACCGCAGAACCGTGGCCAGCTGGAACAAGGGCGGGATTGATGATTTTATAAATGTATGTTTATCAAGTCGGAAATTGTACCGAAACCTAAAAGTTACAAAAATACTTAAAGTTCCAGCTGAAAATACACTTGAAATTATCTTACGTTTCATCTGTTTGCAAAAGAAAATCGGATGAGCTTCTAAGGATTTTCCTCTGTAGCCTAGCCTTTTAAAGTTTTTGTCTTCGCAAGTACTCCAGAGCAAGAATTCGCGCAGATGGCATATAAACATAAGTAAACAAACGCAGCCGCTGCAAACAGCTGTTCAGGGCTGCAATATGTACATAGCCTGGCGGGTAATTCAAATTTTTAATTTTTTCTTTTATTGTGTACAATATGCGCTTTAAACATATATTATTTTTGTAATTTTGCAATAAAAACATAAATTAAGTTTTAAACTTATAGGAAAATAGTCCAAATAAGTCAAATAAAATTCGATAATTATTGAATATTCGATATTTAGTGTATGCATCCAGCCCTGGTCGTTTTTCGGTAAATTTTCCGATGAAAGGAAATCTTTCGAATTCCTATGACACCAACGGTTTTGGTCGGTTGGTTACTAAACCAACCGTCCCCAAAAGCGACGACGGTTTCTGTGACACCCCTGATAATGTTTCTCGAGGTTATTGGGTTCATTCCCAGAGCATTGTAAATTGGATCAACGATTTCTTTAAATCCCTCGCTGTCCAAGAATAGGAATGACTTTCCGTCAGTTGTAACTATTTTAACCGGGAATTTATTGAAAACCATTCCAACCGAATTTCCCCCGAATAGCAAATCTCGGTGTCACAGACGTCATTTTTGACGGTTTCTAAATCCCCCGTATTTTGCCGGACGTTTTGATAAAATTACCCAACTTACAAATGTTTCCCAAAAATATAACTTTATTTAAAACAACTCTAATGCATTTTATGAACTACCTGCATACTACGATTTTTATACTTACTTCGGTTTATATTTAAAAATATGCTTTTTATAAAACCTTACGAAAAAATTAGCTAAAAAAAATCCGTCGGCAAACCGTCTACCTGGCAGTGTTACCAATTGCTAGCACTTTAAAATACCAAATTTGTCAAGATTTCGGAGTTAGTTATCGAAATGTTTTGTTAACGAATTATTTATTCAAAGGTACTTAGTATTGTAGTTAAAAATGGAACTTATTTCTGGTAAAAATTTCATGGTAAAAGAAGTTGTAGTTATTGAGAAATGTATAAAAACAGGCTGCCTTTTGCAAAAAGTTGGCATCACTGTCGTGAAAATGTCCTATTTTTGCCAGATAAAATTCCGGCTGTGAAGAAGAAGAAGACATGTAAGTAAAAAAGTACAACATTTTTGTTTATTATTAATGTAAACTAATAAGCGTTGCTAATTTTCAGGGGTAAACATAGGTCACCAGCGCAAGACACCATATTCTTCCGATTCATTCGCGATAATATCGGCATTGCCAAAGGATTTACTCAGGGCGCCCGTATTCTTGTGACCACTGCTTGAAAGGACCTGGCCAATGAGTTATGTTGCTGCAATATGTTGCCTGGCGGGTAATTCAAATTTTTAATTTGTTGCGTTTATTATTAACAATATGCGCTTTAAACATATATTCTTTTTATAATTTTGCAAGAAAAACATAAATTAAGTTTAAAACTTATTGGAAAATAGTCCAAATAAGTCAAAAAAAAATTCGAAAATTATTGAATATTCGATATTTAGTGTATGCGTCCAGCCCTGGTCGTTTTTCGGTAAATTTAAAAGGAAATCTCTCGAATTCCTGTGACACCAACGGTTTTGGTCGGTTGGTTTCTAAACCAACCGTCCCCAAATCCGTAAACGGTTTCTGTGACACCCCTGAATATGTGAATTCACCATTGCTTCTTCACTTGTTTCGTACGCAATTTTCCTTTTCTTTATAGCTTTTGCATCGGTGTCCTCTTCGTTGTCGCACTCTCTAAATATGTCTCCGTGTTTTGTGGTCAAGTGGCGTTTCAAATTTGTTGAATGACTGCCGGCTAATTCACCAAGCCAAGTGACACGAAGGAACCACGTAACAAGCACACAATTAAACAAGGTAGTTCGTTAACGTGCTTGGGCGATATTGCTCTCCCTTTCACTCGCACGTACTTTCAATATCGTTAACGGTCTACTATCAAAGGGACTACATTGTATAGTTGCATTAGTAAAAAGACTTTTTGAGATGACTTTTTCAGTCAATCGGTCTTTTAATAGTCTCCCTGTGCGAGCGACATTCGTATCTCTCATTGAACGATGTTCGTAACAGAGCGTCTCACGAACAGCTCAACGTAAAAGGCTCAACCGAAAACCAAAACGAAAGGAAACGAAGTCTGCTGCGCAGAGAGAGAACGATGGGGCATGCTATTTTTCGGTTGTTCTCGGGAGTAGAGCGTAATGAATAAAACGGTTAACAGTTATTTGCATGCTTTGGGTAGAACTAAAGTTTCTTATATCGAGCTGTTGAACATCATATCAAATTTTCAGGACTTTAAAAACATGTTTGGGACACACAGGTTGCGAGGTGTCTTCCTTGGGCTGCCTACCACCAGTGGCCTTCATGCGTTTTGGAGACTCGTCAATTAGGATCACAACAATAATGTAAATTGTGACCCTTAGCAAGGTCATGACTGATTCGGCCAGTAAGCCGGCACACTTGGTATGAGCCATTTTTTCACACAGCCAACAAGTCAGTTTTGACTGATAAGCTCTGATTAATTGATGGCATTTATTAAAAGAGCAGACAAAAGTATCCATAATTGTAAATATTTTGCCCACTGTACCAAACAGAAATGTAGGGACCGAAATTTGCAAACAAGCAGTTAAAAGTACCGCAAGAGCACCGACTCCGCACGCTTAAAATTTCGAAAGAAGGATATGTAGAGAGAGAATGCAAAAGGAGAGCGGGAGCGTAATGCAGTTAATGCGAATGCAGAAAACAACAACACAAACTGTACTGTAGTTTTTACGGACAACGCACAAAGGAGAGGCAAAAGAAATCTCAAAAACAAAAAACACAGAACACAATATTAAAATTGGAAATTGCTTTAATGAGATTGTTTACAGAATAGAGTAAATTCACTCACGAAATATAAGAAGTACTATGATAAATTAAATTGTGGACCGAATATTTATACCCGTTGCTCGTATAGTAAAAGGGTATATTGCATTCATGCAAAAGTATGTAACAGCTGGAAGGAAGCATTTCCGACCCTATAAAGTATATATATTCTTGATCAGGGTCACTAGCCGAGTCGATATAGCCATGTCCGTCTGTATGTCTGTCTGTCTGTCCGTATGAACGCTGAGATCTCGGAAACTATAAAAGCTAGAAGATTGACATTTTGCATGCAGATTCTAGGAGCTCCTACGCAGCGCAAGTTTGTTTCAAAAGGGTGCCCCTCTAACGCCCACAATCGCTTATATACGGTTTTAAAAATTTCAATATTTCGGAAAAGTAAAAATGCAGTTTTATTGTGTTTATCAATACCTATCGAAATGTAGAAGACATTTTTTAAGTTAAAAAGTTACGGCGGATCAAAGCTTTTATCTCCATCTCCCTCGCACTCCCTTTAGCTGAGTAACGGGTATCTGATAGTAGGAGCACCCGACTATACGCGCTCTCTCTTGTTAAGTTTTAATTATAACCGTCTAAAGGTAAACACGAAAACAAATAAAAATTCGGAGCGCGGAAAAACAAAATAGTTCACTTTGGAAGTCAAAGTCCTTATGAGTAGAAACAACAGAGAACGCTATAGGCCCCGACTATCAGATACCCGTTACTCAGCTTAAGGGAGTGCGAGGGAGATGGAGATATAAAACTTTGACCTGGCATAACTTTTTAACGCATGGTCCAATACATTTCGATAGGTATAAATATACACAACAAAATTGCGTCAATTAATTTTTGAAATCTTAAAAGATGTGGCCGTCAGACGCATTTTAAAATCGTTTATGGCGATTGTGGGCGTTGCGCTGCGTAGGAAGCCCAAGAATATGTGTGAGAAATCTCAACCTTCTAGCTTTTGTAGTTTCCGAGATCTCAGCGTTCATACAGACTAGTGTTGGGTAAAAACTGCTCATTTGGGTGAACATGTTGAACTTTTTTTCCTAATGAGTCAACTCACTCAGTTTGCTCACTTGTTCACTTACTCACTTGCTCACTTGTGCACTTGCTCACTTGTTCTGTCCTTAATTTTTTCACTGGAATCCAGGGATTCCAGATTCAGCGTCCCTATTTAAATTTGGTTTTAGATTGTCAAAAATCAAAACGGCTACTTCCTACAAAGTTACAATGAATTTTCTTATATTTGTTTGAATATTCCTATGGGAACCTTTAGATATAGTGGTCCGATCCGGCTCGACCAGACATATGTTCTACCTGCAATAGAAAGAAGACTTTCGGGAAAGTTTCATCGCGATAGCTTTAAAACTGAGAGACTAGTTCGCATAGACTCAGCTATTGGTGCTGATCAAGAATATATATACTTTATGTGGTCGGAAACGTCTCCTTCACTGCGTTGCAAACATCTGACTGAAATTATAATTATATTTATAATACTTTTTGTGCCAAAAACAGCAAGAGAGCAACTGAGCAAGTGAACTAAAAAGATAAAATAAGAGTGCAAAACTGAGCAACTGAGCAACTGAGCAAGTGAACTAAAAAGATAAAATAAGAGTGCAAAACTGAGCAAGTGAACAAAAAGGAGGAAGTGAGCCTAAATGAACAACTGAACAATAAAGAACAAGTTTGAAGGAACATGTTCACTCACTCAGTTTAGTGAGCAACTCTTTTTTGTTCACTCACTCATGACCAACCCAACACTAATACAGACAGACAGACGGACAGACGGACGGTCGACCAGTGACCCTGATCAAGAATATATATACTTTATGGGGTCGGAAACGCTTCCTTCTAGCTGTTACATACTTTTGCACTCTACTCTACGAGTAAAGGGTATAAACACGTCAAACAAATTTGGTTTCATATGGAGTTTTTTGTTGGGTTGAGTACTAGCCCTTAAACTCAGTGCTGTCCTAGGCTTTGTAACGACCCTGTTTCGGGTAGTTGCGTATAGATGAGTCGGGACTGCTTGCTTCGTCGATTCGGCGCTGAGGAAGGGCCTTGCTTGCTGTCGTGATCCGGTGCTACGGAAGGGCCGAGTGATGAACTGCTTGCTTCGTAGAGGTTTCTCCTTGTTGCTGATGTGTTTCCTCGAAGATCGGAACGCAAGTGACTCATTTAAGGTCTTGCTTCAGCTTATATAGGCGCCGTTGAGTGTGCCCAGAGCGGCCGAAGGCGATAACCCTGATTTCGATAATCCGTTGTCGGGGCGCGATTATAGCGATGGCATTCGTTTGCTATGGGCGCGCGTTTTAAAAGGTTTTTCTTTGGTGGGTGGTATTTAGTTGTTGTGACGATGGTTCGTCACAGTGTTTAAGACGTTTCATCAAATATAATATATTTTTCTAGGAAAAGATTATCACAATAGCAGTGACTGCAACATGTACCTAATTTAATGTGCAAAATTTTTGGTATGGCTGTCGTTTCTCTGTCCGGTTGCTATGGTCGTGCCTAAGTGTTCTTCATACATTGATCGTGCATAAGGTGGTCGCAAGCACGCTAAGTTTATGAAGCGAGTACTAGCCGGCAACATATGTATAGCGTGCGCTGCTGCTAGTCCCAAACAACATCAGACCAAGGGTTATTGCCCATTAATTTTTTCGATGGCATCGTTTTTTTTTCAACGGACTTGTAGCTTTATGTCACGTTCGACGTGTAAAACCCATTTATTTAAAAAAAGTATTTTAAAAATGTTTTTAATGCTAATTGTTTTTGTCTGCTTTAATAAAATATTCTCTTAAGATATTACCAAGTCTCCTTTTGTTTACAGTCTATTTTAGTTGTAGGTATATATTAATATTGTAATACAATATAGTAATTATTTATAATGAGCACTTTCATTTTGACCTAAATTACAAACAGCGCTAGCGTATAATAATATTCACAGCCAATTCTTAAAAGTATTTTAAATATTTTTATGTTTTTGCACATGCCCTTATGATTATTATTGTAACATTTTAAAAACTTCTTTCATGTGTGATTTTTTGTTAATTTCCTCTTAATTATATAATTATAATTATAATTTATAAATTTATAGTTATAATATATTTGTATTTTATTTGCAATACACTGCGATCTCAGAACACATTTGTGAACTTGGAAACGCCAGAATTAAAACCTATTGTAGTGTAAGTTTTCATATTAATTTATTCAAGACCTATCTTTAAGATTAAAATAATCTTTATAATGTTCAGAGCCATTTGAAAACAATCTGCTTAAAACTGTAAAGTAACGTTTAATTTTGAGATAATATTTTTGCAGAAATAGAACCCCACTCAATATGACCAAATTGAGTGAAAACCTATATGGCTTATATGAGCGTTAATTATATTTGAGTATTCCAAAATTATAACCAAAAAACGGTTCACCTATCTATAAAGGCATGTAACAGTTTCCATTTTCGAAAGTATGCAACAAATTTAAACAATATTTCCATGTGCTATATTTTAGAAATTTAAATTGAGTTGCAAAAAGTTTTCGAAAGTAAGAACCAGAACACGCTTATATTCGTTTCGATTATAATTCGATTTATAAAAAATAAAATGAAAAACTGTTTCACTCTTTTTAAAAATATTCTCAGGCACATATTAAAACTATTTTCTTACATTGCATTTCTTCTATTTACTTAACTTTTTTGTTTAATGTTATGTTTTGAAATATTGGATATATTTATAGTGCACAAGCCAACTTATTTTGTTAGCTAAAGCTATATTTATAAGTATTGTATTGTTTAGCGTTTCCCGACTCTAATTCATATGTAAATATCAAGTCTGGAGCTGCTTTAATTAGTGCTACTATTGTCATAACATCGGCTTTTTGTATTCCCTAAATTTTCGATATTTATTCTAACGTCAGCATAAAATCCAAAAGCTTAAAATTGTTTTTGTAATAATTTGAAAATTTTATCCCTTTTCCTATTACAAAATCTTACAAAAAATAAGAGAATTTTAGGGCTTAGTTATTTTCCAGTGCGTTACAATCTAGATTGCACAATTAATCAATTTGTAAATAGCCACTTAGATAGATTTCCTACTACTACTATTTACTAGAGCCCTGCTCCACACAAAACGAATATCCTACAAAAACATTATTTCTTTAAAATTCCACTGTTTAATAATATTTAGTTACGAGGGCCCGCCAAAGACCAACCCGAGCATAAAATTCAAACTATTAATAAAAAAAATTAATATTTTTGCGTAGGGTCAAACGTGATATTCATGGTTTCTTTGGCAAAGCTGCTTAGAATTGCCCATAGAATACGTTCCCCCCTACGTTTTGATGACCTTCAAATCGACCCACTCTAGTGTACACCCTTGCAAACGGTAATTTACTTCCAGTCTAAATTTTGCAACGATGTAAAGGAACCTTTCCAATTTACCAGATTCATCCGTTTCAAGAAAAGCTATTCTTTTTAAGCTATCTGTATTATCTGCTTCTTTTTTTGCATGCAGTATGACAGACTGACAGTTGGGTGGCCCGACTATCAGATACCCGTTACTCAGCTAAAGGGAGTGCGAGGGAGATGGAGATATAAAACTTTTTTTTTTAATTTCTTCTACATTTCGATAGGTATTTTTAAACACAAAACTGCATTTTTACTTTTCCGAATTTTTAAAAGGAGTGGGCGCCAGACACGTTTAAGGCGATTGTGAGCCTTAAAGGGGGCGTGGCCCTCGCTGCGTAGGAAGCCTAAGAATTTGTGTTGGTAATCCCAACTTTTTAGCTTTTGTAGTTTCCGAAGTCTCATACAGTCAGACAGACGGACAGTCAGACATGGCTACATCGACTCGGCTAGTGACCCTGATCAAGAATATATATTCTTTATAGGGTCGGAAATGCTTCCTTCTAGCTGTTACATACTTTTTCACGAATACAATATACCCTTTTACTCTACGAGCAACGGGTATAACAAGAAAGGAAGCTAGCTTCGGCCAGTCAAAACTTATATACTCTTGCACACAAAAAAATTGCTTGGTAAAATTGACCAACAAAGATAGTTACGTAACTATTAAAATAGTTACGTGTATTTTGTTTTTGCTTTGGGTTTGTGTCTTCGCTAATTGTGTGTATTTTGTTGTTGTGAAATAACTATTTACTTAGTAGAATTGACAATTTTGCTGGTTGGGCCTGTTTGACAATTATTACAGTTGATTTTACCAAGTTTTTTTTGGGTGTGCAGATCATTCCGTTTTATTTACAAATTACAAAAATGTTAAATTTCCTATGGCAGCTATATGTTATAGTTGTACAATTTTAATCAAATTTAAATCAAATTTTTAAAAGTATTTAAAAAAAAGGTCAAATCCCAAAGTAAAGAATATACAAAAAAACCCATTAATTTTTCATATAGTCATCCGATTTTAATAAAATTTCAGTGGAAATTCAGAATTCGATAAAAAATGGTATTTCCAAAAGTAGGAGATTATATGTTAAAAAACATCCAAGATATAATTTATTGACATTTTCTTTCAGCTATATGATATAGTTGTCCGATCCTGCTCGTTTCGACATATATACTACCTGCATAAGAAAGAATGCAGGCTGGAAAGTTTTAGCCCGACAGCTTTAAACCTGAAAGGCTAGAAACGGACGGACAGGCTAGACTCTTCTAGTGATGCTGATCAATAATGTATATACTTAATGGGTTCGGAAACGTCTCCTGCAACGAAATATAGGCAACTATCTAGAAAAATATGAAATGTTGACCTTTTGTTCCTATGGGAGCTATAATATATAGACGTCCGATCAGCCAGCTCTTTTAACCCGATGCATAAAATAATTTTTCAAGATTTATCCGACCGTTCTTATTGGAGCTAGACAATATAGACGTCAAATCGTGTTTTCAAACTTGATCTGCAAACACATTTGTTATGACGGCTGTGAAAGTTTCAGATTGCTAGCTTTAAAGAAAGCTAAAGCTCGCAAACGATAATGAATCAGACCGGCTTGGCTATATCGACTCGTTTAGGATCCTGATAACGAATGTATATACGTAATAGGGTCGGAAACGTCACCTTCTCTGATGTTGTATTGTATTGTGCAAGCATTTTTGGTTTTGTGTGTCCCGTAGACTAATATTAAACATTTAACTTTAAATGAATAAGAGTAGCTACGAGTATCAACAATCACTTCTTCGTTCATTCTTTTAAGAGGAGGGGAACACTTCTTGTGTTATCGTGTACACTTAAAATATAAATGTTTTACAATTTTATTTTTTATAATATAATATATTGAATTAATTAAAAAAATAAAACGAAATGAGATCCTGTTAACTTTTTGAAACGAATACACCGGCTCGAGCTATTAATGCAGATATTTCATTCTTGTTTACTTTTCTCTCTTTGTTACGGGTATAAATATATTCGGTTATACCAGTCTCATTATATAGTCGTTTCATTTGCAGTATTTCAAGTAAATACAAAGCATTTACAGAAACTTAAAACTTTTTGTATTATTATATACTGTTACTGTTTAAGGTACTCCTAATTAATTATTGGTTCTCCTATCAATATTTTGGCATGCCCAAGCCGAAGAGTTTAATTACTTTTATTTCATTGAGCTTAGATCATGATACATAGTCACGATTTGAATATTCATCTATATAACGTCCAGACGCTGAAATGAGTTCTAAATTCAATTAAACATTAGTCACGCCAAACATAATTGAGAACTTACAATCTTCCATTAATATAACCTGGGTATTTTCTATATTTGTACTAGATGCAGAATGTGGAATTACGTTGTGCTCCTCTTCGTTCCATCTTGTCCTGGTACTTGATCTTGTTACAGCCATTGGAGCTGAGTAAAGACTCAAATCTGTTGGACTTATAACACCAGACATTGTGGAAATGGAGCCGGCATATCCCAAAAGCTTAAATTAAAAAATCATAATACATTAATTGAAATAAACTGAACTAGGTATATCTTTTTTCTACAAATATCAATCAGTAGAAGACAATAACATTTTTTAATAAATTATATACAGAGAAAGTAAGATTCTTTAAAATGTCGTTTTAAAATGTCAATCTAATACAAATTGTTTTCAAAAAAAATTTTTGTTATACAAATTGTAAAACGAACGATTTTAAATAACTATTTAAACATAAAAGCTTTGAAAAATCAAAAAATTTCAACAATAAAAGATTAAATAGGAAAAATAAAAGATTTAAAATAATTTGGTCAAGTAAACATTAGAAAATAAATATTTCCCAATACATATTCTCAAAACTTGCATTGTAAATTTGAGCATGCTTGAACGTGCTAACTTTATATTTAAGTTGAACTATAACACTCGCGCGCATCATGGCGCGATGGCACAATGGGTAAGACGTCTGACTACGATGCAAGACGACCCCGGTTCTAAAACCGGCTAAGGCAGAGTAAAGCCTAGTACTCAGTTCGGCTAAGACTTTTACTAGTCGACAAATATTAATCTTTTAGTGTGACCGAAGTTTTAGCAATGCACGTTGCATGGTCTTACTCTCAGCAAACAAATCAATTGGCGCCAATTTGAAAATATTACAAAACGTTGAGCCGACCTGGGTCGCAAGCTTTAAATTCGCCGTTGGAATGGCGATATGTACTACAGGCAGTTTTCCATTGGTTTTTGTGGTTTTCCTTCCATATATAAATTGTTATTGGCACACCGCTTCTGCACAAACACAGCCAAAGATCAAATTTTGTATTCTTTGGGCCGCTCATTCATCGTTCATCGGAATTCATCCGCTAAATCTAGTATTTTAGTGGTATTTTCTTACTATTTCCTTAGCTCAACTGAGTACCGAGGTGGGAAAAAGTCCCCGGCTAAAGGCGTTAGCTACCTATTTGCCTCTCGCTTACTCCTATGCTTAGCTAGCAGTTTTCGTCGTACTGAGTACTAGGCTTTAGAAAAAAGTTTTTAAGACGCATAATAAACATTTCCCTAACAATTTTAAGAACAATATTGTAGGGGAGAGGTCTGTAGGTTGGTACACCTTTTGTTTTTAATCTGCCATTTCGACATTCACTTATGAAACTTTACGCATTTGGTACTGATCGAAAGGTTAGTCTATTAGGTTAATAAAAAACAAAAAAAAATATTTTTTTTCTGACTGTCATATCCACCTGATTCTTTTTCTAATTTATTAACAGACGGACATGGCTAGATCGACTCGTCCAGTGATGCTGATCAAGAATATACGTCTCCTTCACCGCGTTGCAAACTTCTAACTGAAATCATAATACCCTCTGCAAGGGTATAAAAATAGTTGTGTTGTGTTGTGAAGCGGGATTTGAACTTGCTACTCCCGAGCACAAAATAGTACCAGAACCTAGAACTTTGGCCTCTGGGCCATGCCCACAAAAAGAAAAATATTTAGGGGAGAGTGGGGGAATTTCGTCACAGGGGCAATTTCGTCACCTGCAATATCTCGGAATCCATAAGTCGTAAAAATATATAATTTTTTTGTTTTAGTCCTTCAAGACGGCCAGACACAACCAATGCATTTGTTTTGCACAGAAGGCCAAGATAATTAAGCTATAATATTAAATGTGTTTTAACAGCTCAAAAGCTACATTTAGTTCTCGACGAAATTTTTTCTGTATGCCACAATTCAAAAGGAATAAGATACACGATTTTTTATATAATACACAGTGCTATAATGTGCATTTCTGCGTCAGTGATTTTTAACTTCGCGCCTAATTTCGCAAGAAAAATAATTATTTCTAAAAAAGTACGGTCTGGGGAAATTTCGCCACCCTACGCTAAGGGTAAATTCGCACCTATTTTAAATACATATTTTTATATTTGACGAGCTGGCTAACGAACAGACTACCAGCAGCAGCAACAAATATAGGACGTCAACAAAAATGGTACGCTTCATCAGTGTAGCATATTTTCAGGCGTTAAACTCCCTACATTTTTCAGGTGACGAAATTTCCCCAGTTGTGTGGTGATTTTACCCCCTGTGTGGTGAGATTGCCCCAGTATATTGGTTTTACATTTTATTTTTTTATAAATCACCAAGCTAATTAAAAAAATAGGGGAATGTCACATTTTAAAGCTTGGTGCTAACCGCATTCAACAATAAAAATAGAAATATGATAACGTGTCTCAAGATGGACAAAAAATAGCTTTGAAAAAATGCTGACGAAATTCCCCCACTCTCCCCTACATTTAAAAAATGAAAATAACTATTTTAGGCGCCCATTCTAAAGCAAAACATTTTAAAACTTAAAACAAAACATTTTAGGTGCAAGAAAAGGGTCGACAAATTTTAAAAAGTAAAACGCTCCATGCAAATTTAGAATGCAAATTCTCTCTGTGTAGCCTCAAATAAATTAGGACATTATTAGACGTCAGATAGTATGTTAAACTATTTCTAAGCACCCGTTTTCTGCGAAGTCCTTATATCGTTACAATTTATTGCATAAATAACCATACTTTGATTAAGTTAAAAGTAATTTTGTTATTATAAGTAACAAGAGAGAAACCAATAGACGAGTACTTCGACTATCATATACCAGGAACTCAGCTAGGGGAGTGCAAGGTAAATAAAGATACGTTAGTGGGAAAAAGGCTGACCTCGAGCATGGCATCTAGCGCAAAAAACGATGGATGGCGCGATTTCAGCCAGTCGCTTTGCTGCTTACACACCTCTATCCCTCTCGCACTTCTTTAATAGTCGAGGCACTCGACTATAGCGTTTTAGTTTTACTTATAATCTGGTATAAGTAATTAAAAAAGATGACGGGAAACCAGTTCGAACTAACTAAAAGTGATTAAAGTTCAAAAAATGTTGTTAACCATAAAGTCTGTTCCTTCTATGTGTCCATGATTTTTGACTTTGGTCAAATATTAAGAAAGTGTCGTGTGGCCTTTAGCCTTTTGATAATATCTACCCTGCTCACTTACCGATGTAGGTTGCGAATGGAAGTGATTAAAATATTCTCTGTTATTTGATGGGGGATACATTTGCGTTGTAATTCTGCTTATGTTGGAGCCTGATAAAAGTTTACATCGACCTGGATCAAGGTAAGAATGGGGGCTTGCTGAGGCCGGCGTGTTGAGCGGCGGTAGAGGAGATGCGGTTCCTGCTATTTCGTGATGTGCCACAACATCTGTGCTATTGGGACTATTGCTGTTGTCTAGAGTACTTGCAAGTCTAATATTATCCGGTTCCAAGCTATTTTTCGCTGTACAGTTGTTGTTGCTCAAGTTTGGAGATTGGATTGTCAGCGGCAACGAAGGAGGTGGTGATTGGACTAGTGTTAGATCACTGCTGCTGCGAATTATAGCTACAGGTCGAGCCATCGGAGGTAGCATCGGCGGAAGCATTGTACTGTGATAGTGAGTTGACGGCGATGTCGCCAATTTTGCAGTTCGTAGCTGCTGATGGATTTGAAAATGGGGCGAATGACCTTGCGATACGTGTGAATGTGGAAGTGTATGGGAGTGTTGAAACTGATGGTTTTCAACAGATCCTGTTATTGTTGTCGTGTGACTAGAGTCTTGACAAACATATGTGACAAAGTCTGAAATATCTTGAGGCTCCGTTGAATATTTATCGGAGCCAATACGATTTTGTTCCTCATCGGAAGTGGTTTGAGATGGTCGCGGATTATTATGTTGAGGGTAATATAAAGAACTAATCGGACTGGTGGAAGTCGTGTTTAATGTTGAGCAGTTATGTTGTGGTAAAGCTGTAATTAAAATTGATCAAGATCTGATTTAATTATCTGAAATGTCGATACTATACCTTGGGGAAGTGTCCTACTGTTAAGAGACGTATAGCGGTGCAGCGAAATGGTTGGGTCTGCCGATGTTTTTGGATCGCTGTTAGAGCTATCACTAGCTCTTACGATTAGTGAAAAACTACTATTATTATTGTCTGATGGAGTACTCGTGATGGGCGGTGAGTTGCTTTGATCGATTTTATTAGCAGCATGCACATCGCCGTTTGTGCCTTCTGTACGTAACAACGGACTTTGTGATAAATGCATACTCCTCTGATCTATAAAGTCAACTGAAAGGAGAATTTGTAAGCAACTTAAAAATAATCTACGTAAAAATAATATACGTACTACTATAACCCAGTGGAATTGGATTGGCCACAATTGCTCCAGATTGAACAATACTCTGGGCGGCAGAAGCTGAAGATTCAGTGTTAATTTGATATGTATTGCACTCATAGGCAGCTCCAACATTCTCCCTTTTAATAAGATTCGAGTTCAGGCTACTATCGTTTGCTTCATCTAAAATTAAATCTAATAAAATTGGTTTTGTAAAATGAGCATAACAAATTTGTAAAGTAAATTTTCAATCAAATTGATTTTTTTATCAGGAGAATGAATTACATATTGTAAACTTAAATAATTTTAAAAATGTGTCATATTAAATTAAAAACGGCACTTATAAAGTTTAAGTAAGTTTACAAGTCGTGTTATTATTATTCTTTTATCAAAAGAATATCAACATTCTTGATCACACTTTAAGGTTCAAGTAACCATGACCCTATAAGGTCATGGGAGACATTTCGATTTTGAATTAATTTTATGATTTCCTATAGAATACAGGAATACGAAATACAGTTAAGTTTTAGTTAAGAAACTTTGCATCAAGGAACAACAGAGCGTAGCACTGTGATGAAAGAAACGTCAAACAATCTGCATGTCAAATCCCAACCCTCTAGCTCTTATAGTTTCCGAGATCTCAGCGTTCACATAAAGAGACGGAAGGACAGACGGACATGGCTAGATCGACTCGGCTTATGATCCTGATCAAGAATATATATACTTTATGGCGTCGTAACTCTTCCTTATACTTGTTACATACTTTTACTCTACGAGTAACGGGTATAATTATGGCTTATTATACCCTTGCAGAGGGTATTATGATTTCAGTCAGATGTTTGCAACACAGTGAAGGAGATTTTTCCGAGCCCATTAATTATATATTAGAGCCCTGCATGAGTAGAGTCATAGCTCCCTTTGATTTCATGACCCATTCAATCTATCTATGTTTTTCAAGTCATGATTCCTATCGCTCATAACTCCTATTAAACATGGCTCATACTATGCGCCATGACCTACTTAACTCATAAGAAATGAAGTGACTCCTATAGCTTATCAGATGACTCGTATAGCTCTCCTCGTAGCTCATAGGTTTCATTGTCGACATGGTCAAATAGTCCGCGAATTCTTTACGTTGAATGGTTCGGGTATTCTTAAGGTCAAATATTTCGACGATTCTCCATGTCAATTCTTCGCGTCGAGTGATTCGGGTATTCTTTAGGTCAAATAATTCGGAAATTCTTCAGGTCAAATAATCCTCGAATTATATTGACTTCAAGGATCCTTACCATACAAAAATATTTATCCTGCCTTTAGAAAAATAACAAGAAAGGAAGCTAGCTTCGGCAAGCCGAAGCTTATATACCCTTGCAGATCATTCTATTAATTTACAAATCGCAAAAATGTTAAATTCCTATTATTTCACATTAATTTTTCGATCGTTTTTATCGAAACATCGAAATTCGGAAATATTTAAAAATAGTCATATCCCAGAGTAGAAGAGAATGTAATAAAAATCAACAAAGAGATAATTTTTTCCCTAATAATTTCTATTAAATTTTTGACCGTTCCTATGGCAGCTATATGATATAGTGATCCGATTGTTGAAGTATTTAATTCGAAATTCAGAAATATATAAAAAATAATATTCCTAAGAGTAGAAGGTAATATTTGAAAAAACACCGAAGCCAGAATTTTTTCTAACGTTTTTTTCCGATCCGTCCTATGGGAGCTATAAGATTTAGTTGTCCGATCCGGTCGGTTCCGACTTATATACTACCTGCAATAGAAAGAAGACTTTCATCCTGATAGCTCAAAAACTGAAAGACTTGTTTGCGTAGAAACAGACGGACAGACAGACGGACAGACGGACATGGCTAGAACGACTCGTCTAGTGATGCTGATCAAGAATATATATACTTTATGGGGTTGGAAACGTCTCCTTCACTGCGTTGCAAACTTCTGACTAAAATCAAACTACCCTCTGCAAGGGTATACAAATATATATATTTCTGTGATTAACAGATTAGAGATATTTTTGACCTGAGTCATGACTCATAGGGAGTCATGAGTCATAGGAATCATGAGCTATAGGAGTCATGAGCTATATGAGTCATTAGGTTTTAGATCAAATCAAGTGGATTACGTTAGCCATGAGCTGAGCCATTCAGATCCAAAAAATTTTCCGAAATGAGCTACTCGAACCTTTTTTGAACATGTGAGTCAAAGGGCCCTATGACTCCACTCATGCAGGGCTCTAGTATATATATTCTTGATCAGCATAACTAGAAGATTCGATCTAGCCATGTTCGTCTGTCCGTCCATTTCTACGCAAACTAGTCTCTCAGGTTTTAAGCAATCGGGATGAAACTTTTCCAAAAGTCTTCTTTCTATTGCAGGTAGTATATAAGTCGGAACGGGTCGGATCGGACAACTATATCTTATAGATTCATAGGAAAGATCGGAAAAAAAACGTAAAATATTCTTGCTTCAGTGTTTTTCTTTAAGTTAATAGGTAAAAAATGATTGCTTCCTTGGTTTTTTTGTATTCTCTTCTACTCTAGGATATAACTCTTTTTAAATAATTTCGAATTTCGATTTTAATTTTATCATATAGGAACGGTCGAAAAAATAACACTATACAACATCTAAAATTTATCTCGATGGATGCTATATTTTTGACTTCGTTACGAATTCCCAAGTTAATCTGCGTTTTCCAAAAAATTGGCCGACGCAAGGTTTCTTAACACAAGGACATCAAAGTTCGAAAAATGTTGAAATTGGCTAACTCTCCGGAGGTCCCAAAGGCAAACGGATTCATGGTTTGTTTTCATGTTAAAGTTTTTCAGAAGATAGACTCTTTATCTTTCAAGAAAGAAAAATTACACTTTAAGGACTCTTACCAATTTGCCAAAAATGATGCTTTATTTGTCATCTATTTTTAAATCCATCGCGTTAAATTTAAAAAACATTACTTTTGTAACTCAGCACTATAGGGCATTTAATAACCTTGCACTATGGGCAAAAAATTCGATATTTTTCCTTTTTTTTTTTGTTCTTCAGTATTACATAAATGACCTACTGTTATGTGCAATACTTAAAGGAATCCAAAATTCATTTTCAAAGAATTTTATTTGGCGTTTTTCGCTATTTTTTCCCTTAAGAGAGTATAAAGTTTGAAATAGGGTCACACGTTTACAAAAAGGGACGAAAAATTGTGCAGTTTTCGCCACTCGATTTCTCTGGCTATTGTAAGCAAACCAAAAAAGTTTAAATATGGATACAAAGAGTGAAGGTTTGTGAAATAAATTTAACTATGAATCGAATTAAGCGATAGTCAGCAGACAATAAACAAAAAGAAACTTTTGCAGTTTTTTGCCATCTATAACCGTAATTTGCAAAAATGTCTCATAATAATGGACCGGTTCAAGAAAAATCATTCCCAGTGGCTTTCATCGAACTTAACAATTTCAATTTTGGAAAAGGGCACGCCAAGTGACAAACCTGGTAGCAAATGCCTCACTTATACTGATGCAGGACCACGGTTAAAGCGTAAGTTGGCATCTAAATTGGCGAAAGAAAAAGAAAATTCGAAACCATTGCTTTTGCATGCTGCAAAAAAACGTTATTTGAGGATGTGATAACAGAAGACCATTTAACAATCCGAGGTCGCCGCGTCTGAAGAATTCGCGGTCTTATTATGGTGAAGAATTCATGAATGGCTGTATTGGTTAGAACTTTAAAAATTGTTACCATGGTCATTAATGGTTCCTCTAGGTCTGAAGAATTCGCGGTCTTATTATGTTTAAGAATTCATGTGTATAAGTACAAATTGCAACCTTTAAAATTCCAATTCCAATTGAGCAACAGATATTAAGGACTTGTATATTTTCGATCACCAAATAAAAGTTATTTAAAAGGTCATTATTATCAAAAGGTCGTTCATATGTAAAGTGTAAAAGAAGACTTTCATAAATCTGAAAATGGAAATTCCTTGCAAAGGTATTTGTTAATGTAAATTAGCTTTAATGTTTGCTTTTATGTGCCTTGTTGTCCAACTGAACTGTCTTATATGTGTATCTTTATAGATTTGAGCTAGCGATTGTGTTTGTGTTTGTGGAGTATAACTTCTTCATAACACAGAGTTGCAAAGAAGTAAAAACGAGGAATTAACCACAAAAGTGTCCTTGTTGCCATACAATTAACCATTTTTGCTCATTTTTGCTCCTTTTTGATAAACTTGCGTTTATCTAGCCACATATGCGTTCACCATGTATGGGACTAATTACTTTTGGTTCCCTATGAAGCCACATCATGATTGAAAAATACATTGTTCCTCTTGACTCCTTAGCAGAAAGTGCATCAGAGCCTAGACACAAACTTTGTTTGTGGCCAGGCGCAGTTTTCTGAATCGTCACTAATAACACAGGCCGACAAAATGTGACATGGGTCGATGTCCAGGCCTGCCACCATTTTATTTCGATAAATGAGGCTTTTCTAAGCATAAGTTGCCACTACGCCTATAGTCCATCAGCTCTGGTATTTGCGGTATCTTTAATTTAAGAAAATCACAAATTTTCTTCGGCTTTTGGGATATATCTTCAAGAGTGGTTAACCAATTTTGGTAATCTTTTCGGAATTAAATAGTTACATGTCCCTTTTATACGATCGTTTTGGAAAATTCAATCTAACTCAACCACAAGAGGAGGTGGGCGCATTCAAAATTTTAAAGTCACAGCAAAGTTTAAAAATCTTCATTTGTGAACAGCGTTTAAAAATTAAATAAAAATATTTTCTTCTACGATGCATTTTTGATCCAAAGACACCTTATGTCCTTAATTTTTAGGACACTCATCAGGTTTTTGTGAATTGTTTTGGATTTTTTAAAATTGTTTTTCTTCCTTTCTTCACAGTGACAATTCACAAACAGTGCCCAAACCTGTCACTATTTTACGTAACGCATAACTATTTTTGAACACAAGTGACCCTTGCTTTAAAAATATTTATACATGGGCGTAAGTTAAAAGCTGGAGGGGGATTACACTTCAGGCATTTCAGCCCCCAAAGATAAGTAGCCCACGCTCATGTGCTTATATTCAAAGCAAAACCACTTAGATCGTTTAGAAATATGTTATTCAAAATTGTGACAGGTTTGGGCACTGTTTGTGAATCGTCACTGTGAAGGAAGTAAGAAAAACAATTTTAAAAATTCCAAAACAATTCACAAAAACCTAATGAGTGGCTTAAAAAATAAGGACATAAGGTATCTTATTTATATTTTTATTTAATTTTTAAACGCTGTTCACAAATGAAGATTTTTAAACTTTGCTGTTTAAATTAAAAGTGTTCCAGAAATCGCTTTGCCAACGATATATTAGCCGATAGTATCGGCAATACAAATTTGTGGTTGTTATTTAAATGACACTTGACAATATAAAAAAGGTTTGGATTAAATCCATCTAACCAGTTTATATATGATCAAGGTATGCACAAAAAAATACGATTTGGAAAGATTCATGTCAGAAACTTTTACACTGTGCGAAAATTCTTCAGTTTTTGCAAGTTATATGGACGTCCGATCGGGTCGATTTTCAAAATAGATCTGCGTGCACATGTTTTAGGACGACTGTGAAAGTTTTAAATCGCTGTCTTTTAAACTGAGTTCGCAAAGGGTATTGAAACAGACATACAGACGGACATGGCTATATCGACTCCCCTATTGATCCTGATCAAGAATATATATACTTTATGGGGTTGGAAACGTCTCCTTCACTGAGTTACAAACTTCTAACCAAAATTATTACACCCTCTGCAAGGGTATAAAAATCGCAAAGTTAGTTGATTTTTTGATGCCAAAGACTCATTCCCCCTTTCCCTCCCTTAAATAATAATTAAAAAGCTACTAGTACCTTTGGATAAAGTCCACAGTTCTTGGGATGAAAAAACTCCGGTCGCTAAAATGATATCATTACAAACTACTCCATTATATGGATTTTGTCTAACGTTCTCATTTTTCATGTCAATGACCTCTTCTTTTCTATCTGACAGATCATTTCGATTATATATACCCAAGTGTGGTGATCTAACACCCGGAGTAGTCGAAAAACTTGAATTTGTATTGGAAACTGAATTATGAGTGTTTATAAAGTTGGCCAAGTACAAGTCCAATTCTCGAACGGAAACATTGATGTGGTACGGATTTACACATAATCCTGGATGTAAGCATTCTGGATTTTTTTCTAACCGCTCGCCATCTGTGCTTTCTAGAGGAATCGCTTTGAAGAGTATAACCATTACTAAGTCAAGTCGCCATACTTTGTCAGCCTGCCGTAAGCAGTCTATGCGTCTCATTTTTCCCTTCTGATCTGGGTTCGAAAGAACACATATTGATTTCCGTTTTCCGATTATTGATTGCACAAAATCCTCTCGACTTTCTTGTGTAATATCTTTTCTGAGTTTTCCAAGAAGACGGGAAGCCCACTTTTGCTTCACCTCAGTTTTTTCATTCTGTAAGAAAAACAATATAATTTTATAATTTCATAATATTATTTTCTATTATTACCTGCAGTTCATCCTTACAGTGCCTTTCCTCTTCCAATGACATACGTTTTTCGTGTTTCTTATAATACTTTCGTTTAGCGGCTTGCAAATTAAACCAAGAGTAGGAAAATGATTTGACGTACGGTAAGAGTGCCTCAATAAAAGGGTGAAATTCATCCTATATGTAAAAAGACATTAAATTAGTCACTGTTTCTTCTGATTGTTAGGTGTTCAGGTGCATAACACTAGAATAAAATTGTGCTTAAGATAAAATCTAAATCAGGCGTTAACAAACATACTCATAAAGACATAAAATCCGGTATGTCCGAGATTTAATTATTATACTTATATATTGCTTTTTTTTATTAATTTGTTTCTATACAGTATGTTAAAGATGGCGGATAAACTTTAGAACATTTATATTTCAATAAAAAATTAATTTACATAGTTAAAAATGTGTAAAATAATTTAAAACCGATTGTCAAACCTTTGTATACGTATGGACAATAATAATTTGATGTGTATAATTCCGTTAATATATTCTTTGATAAAACAAAGAAATAATTTGGGGCCTAAACCGGAATAACATTTTTTTCTTTTTACAAACACCAACACATTAAAAACAAGAGAGAACGCTATAGTCGGGTTGATGGCCCGACTATCTAATACCCGACACTCAGATAAAGAGAGTGCGAACGCTGTACTCGGGTTGGTGTTCCGACTATCTAATAATCGCACCTCAGCTAAAGGGAGTGCGACAATTTTGATTGCGTATTACTTTTTAATGATTGGTCTTAACCTTTTAGCTTTTGTACTTTCCGAGATCTCAGCGTTCAGCCGGACGGACAGACAGACAGACGGACATGGCTAGATCGACTCGTCTAGTGATGCTGATCAAAAATATATATACTTTGTGCGGTCGGAAACGTCTCCTTCACTGCGTTCCAAACTTCTGACTGAAATCATAATACCCTCTGCAAGGGTATAAAAAGATCGAACTACTATATCATATAGCTGCCATAGAAACGATCGAAAAATTCATGTGAAAATAATAGTAAATTTACAATTTTTGCGATTTGTAAATTAATAGAATGATTAGGAAGGGCATATAAGCTTCGGCTTGCCAAAGCTATATTCCTTTTTTGTTTTTAAATATTATAAACGCCGCCTTAACGTAATTTATGTAATTTTTTTTTTAGAAAGTGTATTTAATGACGAGTGTAGTAATTTTTCGCCACAAATGTTGATATCAGAACTTTTTTACATACATATGTTGAAGGTGCGATCGTCACTATTTTTATACCCTTGCAGAGGGTATTATAATTTCAGTCAGATGTTTGCAACGCAGTGAAGGAGACGTTTCCGACCCTACAAAGTATATATATTATTGATCAGCATCACTAGCCGAGTCGATCTAGCCATGTCCGTCTGTCCGTCCGTCTGTCCATAGTTTTAAGGCTATCGGATTGAAACTCTTACAAAAGTCTTCTTTCTATTGCAGGAAGTACAAATATAAGTCATAACCAGCCGGATCGAACAACTATATACTATAGCTTCCATAGGAATAATCGGCATAATATTAAAAAAAAATGATAACTTCGGTGTTTTTTGACATTTTACCTCTTCTCTTAGAAAAAATTTTGTTTTTATATTTCTGAATTTCGGATTAAATTTAAAACAAGAGAGAACGCTATAGTCGGGTTGGTGTCCCGACTATCTAATACCCGTCACTCAGCTAAAGGGAGTGCAAACGCTGTACTCTGGTTGGTGTCCCGACTATCTAATATTCGAAACTCAGCTAAAGAGAGTGCGAGGGAGATAGATACATAAATTTTTATTGCGTATAACTTTTTAATGAATGGTCCTATTTGAAAAATGTCTTCTACATTTCGATAGGTATAAATATACACAACAAAATTGCATTTATACTTCTCGGAAATCTTTAAAGATGTGGGCGCAGGACACATTTTAAAATCGTTAGTGGGCGATTGTGGGCGTTAGAGGGGGCGTGGCGCTCGGTTGAAATAAACTTGCGATGCGTAGGAGGCCCAAGATTATGTGTGGAAAATCTTAACCTTCTACCTTTTGTAGTTTCCGAGATCTCAGCGTTCATACGGACAGACAGACGGACATGGCTATATCGACTCGGCTAGTGACCCTGATCAAGAATATATATACTTTATGGGGTCGGAAACGCTTCCTTCTAGCTGTTACATACTTTTGCACGAATACAATATACCCTTTTACTCTACGAGTAACGGGTACAAAAATCGGTAGGAAAGAACGTAAAATTAATGGAAAATAGGAAATAAATGTTAGCTTCTTTGTTTTTTGTATTCTTTTACTCTAGCATTTTTAAATATTTCCGAATTTTAATTTTAATTTTGATCAAAATTGGACGACTATATCATATAGCTGCCATAGAAACGATCGGAAAATTAATAGGAAACAAATTTTAGCTCCTATATGGTTTTTATTGTATTTTTTTCTACTCGAATAATTTCGAATTAAATTTAACAAAAATCGGACGACTATATTATATAGCTGCCATAGGGAAGGATAGAAAAATAATGTCAAAGTAATAAGAACTTTCAACTTTTTGCGATTTGCAAGTTAATTGGAATGATCTGCAAGGGTATATAAGCTTCGGCTGGCCGAAGCCAGAAAATCATTCTTGTTTCCTTTCAGGTAGTGTGTATTGTTAATAAATAGGTTATCCTGCCATCTACAATATCTTTACTGATATTATTATTACATATTATTCGTATATTTTTGGGACATGTAGAAGACTATAATTTTATTACATTGACAAGATGCAATTTAATGATTTAAAATGAGCAAGCTTAAAAATCACACACATTGACACATTTTAGACAAAGCTAGAAACATTTTAAAGTATATATATCAAGCATTGATGTTTAACTACATTTATACTTTCTTTTTTTATGTTCAATTTTTATGGACTTTTCGATTCCTGATCAACCAGACTTTTGTTCATACCTGACAGTAAAGTAAGTAAAATCCGATAAGTTGGAACTAGTAATTCAATAAAGGAAAAAATGCGAATATACATATATGTAAGCATAAGTTAATTCTCTATAAAATACTTCATTTATAATCTTATCTTTTCTATATTAATTATTAATTACTGACTATTGATTTAAACAGCGATATAACTGACATATTTAGGTAAACAGTTGGAAAAAAAAGAAAGCTTTACCTGTCCCGATGATGATGTTTGCAAATAAGAAGATACGTCCGTCTCGATCATACAGCCTCTTAAAGCATCTGGTATAAACATACCTTAGGAATTTTTTTGTTCATTGAATTAATTGATGCTTTAAATCCATCGAAAGTGATCTAAAACAGAATACATAAGAAAAATATGAAAAGGTTTGAAAAGGAATCGATAGTAACACCACTTTTTTAAATAACAACGATAAAGTTATCCGGTTTTCACACAAGGTTACATTTTTCTACGCACTTTAATAACACTATGCAGCATCTAAAATTTACCTCGATGGATGCTATATTTTTGAATTCGTGACGAATTCTCTAGTTAAACTGCGCAAGGATTCTTAGCACAAGGACCTCAAAATTTGGTAAATTCTGAAATGGACCAGCTTTTGGAAGCAAACGGATTCATGGTTTGTTTTGATGTTAAAGTTTTTTAAAAAATACACTCTTGATCTGGCCGCCCTGTGTTTTCAAAAGTTTGTTGTTGTAACTTTTCAAATCCAACAAGAGAGAACGCTATAGGCGGGTTGGTGTCTCGACTATCTAATACCCGTCAGCTAAAGGGACTGCGAACGCTGTACTCGGGTTGGTGTCCCGACTAATTTTCTTAACTCAGCTAAAGGGAGTGCGAGGGAGATAGATATATAAATTTTGATTGCGTATAACTTTTTAATGAATGGTCCGATTTAAAAAATGTCTTCTACATTTCGATAGGTATAAGTATACACAACAAAATTGCATTTATACTTCTCGGAAATCTTTACAGATGTGGGCGCAGGATATGTGTGGGAAATCTCAACCTTCTAGCTTCTGTAGTTTCAGAGATCTCAGCGTTCATACAGACGGACAGACGGACATGGCTAGATCGACTCGGCTAGTGCCCCTGATCAAGAATATATATACTTTATGGGGTCGGAAACGCTTCCTTCTAGCTGTTACATACTTTTGCACGAATCTAATGTACCCTTTTGCTCTACGAGTAACGGGTATAATTAGTCTTACAGTACAATTATAATACCCTTTTACTCTACGTTAGTCATCTAAAGGGAGTGCGAAGGAGATGTAGATAAAAACTTTTGATCCGCCGTAACTTTTTAACGAATGGTCCGATTTAAAAAATTTCTCCTACATTTCGATAGGTATTGATAAACACAATAAAACTGCATTTTTACTTTTACGAAATATTGAAATTTTTAAAATCAAATATTAGCGATTGTGGGCGTTAGAGGGGGCGTGGCACCCTTTTGAAACAAACTTGCGCTGCGTAGGAACTCCTAGAATCTGCATGCAAAATGTCAATCCTCTAGCTTTTAAAGTTTCCGAGATCTCAGCGTTCATACGGACAGACAGACGGACAGACAGACGGACAGATGGAAAGACGGACAGACGGACATGGTTATATCGACTCGGCTAGTGACCCTGATCAAGAATATATATACTTTATAGGGTCGGAAATGCTTCCTTCTAGCTGTTACATACTTTTGCACGAATACAATATACCCTTTTACTCTACGAGTAACGGGTATAATTATTACACTTTTAAGCTGAAAATTTGCACAACTCATAAAAATGTATTTCTAAATTTTAGAAATCTCGCTATTGGATTGGCTTTCCTTTGAAAATAGATGAAAAATTTCTTGTTTTTAGAAAATTTGAAAAATAAAAAACCAAGAAAAAATTTGTCTTGAAAATAGAAAAATTAAAAACTCATTTGATTTTTGTGTCGTCGCAGCCAAAACATTTAAGGGCGAAATCGCCTTTGAATATATGAAAGAAATTGCTTTTGAATATAAGAATGTAGACTTCGACTTCCTTCAGCTACCGAATGTTAACGACAGAGTAAAACGAAGTAGTCCGAAGGCCCCGACTACTACCCAGCTAGCGACTATTCTGCAGTGTTGGGACATACCTAGATACTTTTACCTAGGTACGTACCTAGGTACAATTTAGTGGTACCTTTTACCTTACCTAGGTATACAAATAATTGAGTACCTTTTACCTTACCTAGGTATTTATTTTTATATACCTTTGGAATTATTAAGGTACTTACATAGGTATTAAACATTGCTCTGATTTAAAATAGCCAAATCTGACTGCGACACTGTAGTATCGTTTCATTGTATCGTTTCGTTTCAGAATTGTAATAGTCGGAACGCAGCATTAATAATTCAGCCGTTCTATTGTTTGTTTTGTGAAGTTAAAACTAATCGCAGTTTTTTTTATATAATTTTGTGCACGTATGTATGTTCCCATCACTACATCAATTTATTTATGAAACCAAAGTGTATTTGGCGCGCAAAAATGCCGTATGTACGTAAACAAACGGCATATACATGCATATGCACAATATATAGTCAATGTTTCTACATACGGAATTTTTGCGCGCCAAATATGTACATGAGGGTTTCATAAATACATTAATGAAGTGATACGTGCATAAAATTATTCATGCCGCGTGGTTTAAAAATATATGCACAAAATTAAAACATTTAAATTTAAATTAAATGAAAAGATATTGTTTGATTAAGACGACTAAAAACTGAAAACTAGTCTTATTTTAAGTTTAAATGATTACATTGAACAAAACAAAAAAATTATAAAAAATAAAAAATACCTTATAAATACCTTTTACCTTTACCTAGGTACTGGGAAATTTAAGAACCTTTACCTTACCTAGGTATTTATTTTTGACAATACCTTTTACCTTACCTAGGTAAAAAAACACAGTACCTTTCCCAACACTGCTATTCTGATCACCCGAGCAAAGAAAGCCATTGGCGTTACGCCAAGGCGTCAGTTGTAAAAAAAGATTTGTATGTGATGAACATGATGCTTAATCGGCCAATATTCCCGGTATGTACATAAATGTATAATTTTTTATAACGCGCATATGTAGTGTGTAATTAAAGGAAACAAATCGAAATCTCTTTTAACTAAGTTTCATACGAATTTAGTTGAAAAAATTCGTTCTTGTTTTGTTTTTTGGTTTTAATCGTTTAATACAGCAATGAAGCTACTTTTTGTTCATTTTTTTTATTTGATATATTTTAAATATGTGATGAAACTGATAAAATAATTAATATGTTACGTTAATGTTAAAAAAAAAAACTCAATTTGTTGGTGAAACACCTCGCAACGAATACTTTTATGACTGTCTGTATGCATACAAATTACCTTGACCTTATTATTTGATTTATATTTATTTTTCAGAGCTAAATATGACTGAGGAATCGATAAAATACCTTCAGTGGGAACAATTTCAATCATAATAAATCAATCATAATAAATCAATCATAATAAATCAATCATAATAAATCAAATAATTGATTTGTCCATGCGGTGATTTGAGAAATACTGGAATTTCGTTTTACTTTTCAGAAAAATTTCACAGTAGCCGTTAAATATTTATCATTTTTAAATTCTTCCCTTTGCACACTGGGCCAAAAAGTTTATTTATTGTCCAAAAATCTGTAATTTCTTTCCTAGGACAGTTAGAAGGATGCAGTTTTTTGCGTTTTTTTAAAGATTGAACTTTCCAACGAATTATGAGTAAAATTTCATGGAATTTTATATGATATTGATAATCCAAACCAAAGTCGGAAAATTTTACGTGCTTTTCGGTTTATTATTTTTAAAAAAATAACTAGAAAGCGCACTCAATCCATTTTCATTTACGATAAAGTATGAGATGAAACAAACTAAAAAAAATTAACACCACTAAAAAATATTTTCTCGTTTAAGATTTATGAACCGTTCCAAACTGCAACTTTCGGAGGCTCCCACATCAACGTTTATCAAAAAATCTATTAAAAAACTTTCTTTATTTTTCCCTTCCCTTCTTAAGTGAAAAGATTTTTATAATCAATTTATTAAAAAAAATTGTTTTAAAAATATGGTTTTTTAATTTGTTTAATGTTAATTTGACATATTCTGAAATCATCACAAATGTATGCTATATTTATATTTGCATAGTCCAAATTAGTAATATTTTAGTTCTCATCTGAAGGAAGTACAAGAAAGTACAAGAAATACTGCATACCTTTGGGCATACTTAAGTCATCCCATAAATCCCTTAAGCCTTTTGCCGAGCATTTCGCCTCTGCGCTGTAATTTCCTGTTTAATAGTTTCCGGATCGTAACTATATAGGTTTCGAAAATACCATGATCGATTAGTGTACGTAAAAAGTAGACTTTAGATGTTAGTCACACTAAAATCAAATTTTGGCGATTAAAATGTTCACTTAAGCCTGAAGAAAAAAAAGTACCGCATACTTTTGGGCTTTTTTAGCAAAGCTCATCAAAATGGCTCGACTTCGATTTAAGCCTTCAATTAAAACTTTAATTACCGAAAACTAAGGCAAAACCGCATCGAGTCGGCGGTGTACGCTTTTATAAAATTGATCAACAAATTTTTTTTTGAAGGAATGAACTGATTTGGGGATGGCACTCAAAGGCACTTGAAAAGCAAAGTACTCATTTGCTAAAAAAAAAAGTAAAAATCAACAAATACATTTATTATAGGAAACAAGTAAGACATACGACCTACATTATATTTTTTATTTGTTGAAAGTAATCACATCTACAAGTTTCGTGAAGAGTCGAACAACTACATCTGCATCTTTGGCTTCAAGATTTTTTTTATTTCCATCAATATTTGATAAATTTCCCACTTTGAAAATACGGTAAAAGAAAACTACTTGCCCGAATTCTTTAAAACTCTGGCATAAATTAGTTTAATGTATTATGAAAAGGATTTCAAACTTATCACTATGGACGGCAGTCCATGTAGTGACGAAGCGCACCAGGAGAGTGTTCGAAGGCGACTACTATTATATAGCCGCAAAATTGAAAATCTGCTGTGATAGTCCGATCGTAATGAGGAATACACCAATCGAAACGTATTGCAAAAACTTAAAGGATTGCATAACAAGACTTTAAGAAAATCAATCGGCTTAGGAGAGAGAGCGGTGAAAGTGAAAAAGTGCAAATTTCGAAATTTGGAGCTGTTGGGGCCGCACAGTGTAAGATTTGGCCAATCTAGCGGGACTTTTAGCAAAAGTTGAACTATTTTTGAGGTCGATGAGCTTTAAGCAGCAGTTTTAGAACTATTGTTCAACTGTTCAACTATTACGAAAACAGGCACAAAACAAAACAAACAATTTTTATTTGGAAGATAACGGTTTTTAAAGTTGGACTTTAGAAATGCATGCAAAATTGCACTGGGAAGCGAGCAACAGTTGACAAAGTTTAGTCTTATCAATTGCATCGCGTGATCAGTGGGAGCAGCCAAAAGTTATTTTTCCCAGAAGCTTTAGACAATTTTTATTCCACTTTCAAAAACAAAAACATTTTTTTGGGACAACAAACTTTTTTTTGTCGTTTTTTTAAAAAAATGCCAAAAAGTAAGTTTATTATTTTTGTGTTTCTGTTTTTTGGTGGAAAAAAAACTTATATTATTCTATCGTATTCTATCCAACCAGAACATACATCCTTCGCATGCATTCATTCTAATTCAGAATCTAAAATAAAATCTTGCCCATATTTTGCCCAAAGACCTTCTATTTAGAAATGAGTGAAATAAGCCGTGCTGCATTTTTCGAGGTTTGGTCGAAAAACATAAAAACCACTCAGCGAGACGCTCTTGTAAAGCACGCAGTGATGTTGTTTGGCAATGACATTGATCACTCCAAATTGAAATTACACTGAAATCTAGGAGAGATAAAGTCAGGTTTTTTGCTCATAATGCAAGTGGCCTTCAGGTCACATTAAATGGCGAAGACTGTCGCATTGATGTCATTGCTTTCACCTCAAGTACAAGAGGGAGGTCACAAAAAGTCTTTTTTGAGTGTTGTCCTAAAACACAAAAAAGGAAAAGCCAAGAATTGTTGCCTACGATAGATGAGGATCAATTGCTATCAGCTGCAGAACAGGCTTTGCAGGCGAACGGGAAAACGGGATTCAGCTAAATTAATTAATGAATTACCAAATGCCCCCCCGTCCATTGGGACTATAATTAAGAAAGCTAAATTATCTTCTAATAGCACTGCAAAACGCCTTTCAGCAGATCAAGCACTTGCCCTTCTGATAGACAGTAAATTATCAATGCACTAGTACAATACCACAAAAATGTCTGTCCAAAATTATATCCATGTTATGATCTCGTTAAGGAGTCAAAAATGTTATGCTATCCTACTGGTATAAAGGTAAGAGAATTCTATGCTGAAATAAGTTTACAATCCCTTATTGATCATACCGTAAAACGGCTGATAAGTGCTCAAGAAGACATTTTTGAGTCACTGTCTCCCTGTCTCCACTAGACGATGTACACATGAAGTTTGAATTGTTACCATTTAACAAAAAAAAATCTTAAAAATATAAACCAAATTTTGTTGTTTATTTTATTAATTATCTTTAATATAAAACCTTATTTGCAGCTGTTTAGCTTATAATTTCGAAGTTACAGCTAAAAACATGAGCAAATAACCAAAATTCAACATTTTCAAAAAAAAAAAAAAAAGTGGCCTCCAAAAATTAAAAACAAAATTTTTTAAGTTGGCGAAAATTATAACAAAAAATACGAAAATAGTTTAAAGGTTCCAACATTTTTTTTTGTATTTTTTGTTGGAGCTTTTATCTTAAAAAAAAACAGTTTTTTTTAACGCCACGCCCATTTTTTATGTTCAACATAATCTTTGGGCTTACTAGAATATTAAAAATGCGACTCCTTCTGATTTAAGTCCCCCTAGATTGGCGAAATCTTACACTGTGGGCCGGTGGGGATAAATGCCCCCTCGCAATGTTTTAGTTTTGTTCCTATTGAAAATACCCGTCGAATGAGGGGTCATATGATCAAATCCGACGCTTCGTTCAAGTTATAGCCAAAATAAGTTTTTTTAAGTTTTGAAAATTTGACATGACGTTCATCACATCGATATAAAAAACTTTTGTTCTACCACTTTTGGAAAAAACTCGCTAGTTTAGCGGGAAAACAGCTATAAATAGCTAAAATTTGGAAAGCCGCATCTGCATCTCGTTTGAAAGGAATTTTTAAATGCTTTCTAAATGCAATTTTTGTAAATGTAATAGTTAAAAAGATATGAACAAAAGACATTTTTTTAAAAATTTTTTTTTACCTTTTTTTTTTTTTTTTCCAGAAACGGCTATAACAATCTTTAAAACTTTAAACTGTATAGCCCTTGAAATTCCTTAAATTTTGGTATAAAACACATTACTGTAAAAAGTCACGTTTAAGAGTTATTTTTATACGAAAAAAAGCCACTTTTGCCAGCTCGAACTACTAACGCTCCCTGAGTATTGAATTTTGTGTGAGGGTATTCGAACTGTATTTTAGGGTCATGGAATCAGTAAATTTGCACTTAAGAGTTCCATATAGGAATCTTTTGTTCTACGACTTTGGGAAAAAGCCGCTACTTTAGCGGGAAAAAGCTAAAAATAGCTACATTTCGTTAGTTTGTAAGTTCTACACTACTAAAGGTACAGACATGTGCTATACCTCGTTTAAAAGGTATTTTGAAATACTTCAACGCCTTTTTAACTTAATTCGTTAAAATACAATAGTTTAAAAATTATGATTTTTAACCAATTTAAATTTAAATGTTTATATTAGCACCTATGAGAGCTATTTTTTGCCCAAAATCGGATCGGCTTGCCCAGTGTGCTTTGTTAAAAATATTTTGATTCTTTTTGTACATTTGTAACGGCTACTATAATACATTTCTCAAAAAGAAAGTGAAATACCATTTTCTTGCAATTGCGGGGGGTCAAACGTAGTTTTAGGCATAGAGTTTATTGGACAATATGTCTTAGAATGGCCCATTGATTATGTTTCACCCAAACGATTGAAAACTTTTTGCGCGTCCATACAAATGTTAAAAATTCAAGGCAACTCAGATATTTTTCATCAAAAAACCGTTATTGTTCTCTTGCAAATGCGGAGGGTCAAACGTGAAATCCGATTTTTAACCCTTCCATCTATCTTGGTCAACTCTCTTGCTCTCTTGACCGACGATTTTGTAATTTGGCTATTATTATTAAAAAAAATTTTTTTTTCCTAAAAACAAATATTTTATATCCCAATAATTATACCCGTTACTCGTAGAGTAAAAGGGTATATTGTATTCGTGCAAAAGTATGTAACAGCTAGAAGAAAGCATTTCCTATAATGTATATATATTCTTGATCAGGGTCACCAGCCGAGTCGATATAGCCATGTCCATCTGTCTGTCTGTCTGTCTGTCCGTATGAACGCTGAGATCTCGGAAACTATAAAAGTTAGAAGATTGACGTTTTGCATGCAGATTCTAGGAGTTCCTACGCAGCGCAAGTTTGTTTCAAAAGGGTGCCACGCCCCCTCTAACGCCCACAATCGCTTATATTTGATTTTTAAAACTTTAATATTTCGTAAAAGTAAAAAACTGCATTGTGTCAATACCTATCGAAATGTAAATTTTTTAAATCGGACCATTCGTTAAAAAGTTACGGCGGATCAAAGTTTTTATCTCCATCTCCCTCGTACTCCCTTAAGCTGAGTAACGGGTATCTAATAGCCGGGGCACCCGACTATAGCGTTCTCTCTTGTTTTTTTTTACAGATGAAAGAAGGCAAAGCTAATGGTTTTTTATGCCTGCAACTAGAGACTGAGTTTTGTGATCACCTTAAATTAAATTATTAATTAGGGGAGAAGGGGGCTCAAATAGTACAAGGGCAACAATAGTATGTGGCCCCAGCCGCCAAACGGATCGTTTAAATTGCGCGCCGTCTTTACTGAAGGTTCCTTAGAACACCAGAGGGCTGCAATAAATTTGAGCTTAAAGCCCCATCAGTTGAAGAAATTACAAATCAATTTCCGTCAATGTCAAATTCCTGAAAATCGTCATTCTGTTTAGGACACTTTATTGGACATTAGTCGCTCTCGAGATTTTTTGAAAAAAATTATTTTCTGAAGGCCAATTTAATGCCCAACGCGTTTCTCTTACTAAATATTTTGTTGGTCTTCAATCTTCGTTGTATTTAGCAAAACTTCAAACATTCTTTCTGGGTGGAAATAGTAGGTGGTTCTATATGATAACACATGGTCTTTATTTTATTTCTTATCACTTCTGGAGGTAGGTCGAACTATTGGTCATAGTCACAGTATTGGTTGCGCTTATGGTCGAATTTGTGGGCGAGAGTTTTATGAGCTAGATTGCAGTCAAACTGAGCAAAATGACCGGTTAAGGGCGGCAAAACAAAAATTTGACTACGCGATATTTTTAAGGAATATTGAAATTTTAGAAATCAAGGAAAAAAAATAAAATAATTTACAAAAATATGGACCTCCGCGTCAAAGAGCTATAACCGCTTTTTTAAAAGCAATAGACGGGTTAGAAAAAAAAACACGACAAATGTGCTCCATTTTAGATCAAAGGATTGGACACTTCCTTAAAATTTTATGAAAATTATCGCTTTTACCCTATGCCGTTAACAGCGAAAGTAAGTTTCGTACTGTTATTACACCAATATTTGGGCTAAATTGTTCCGCTGGTATGGTAATATGATATATGGTAAAAATTTGCCTTTTTTTATGGAAGAAAATATTGTTCTGATTTCACCCCCAAAAACACAATCACAGATTCGCCAATCGTCTATCTTTTACCAATAAAATAAGCTTTTCAAGAGGAAATCTACTATTTACTACTTATTTACAAATTTTTTGGAGAGCTTAATTTCTTAATTTATGAACTATAAACGTTTGGAATGTGTTTATTTATTTTTAATAAAAAAAGTATTTAAAGGTTCACTCAGAAAATGACATATATTTTAACCAGTTCAGTATAAATGATATATATTAATAAATATTCAGAACCAAAACTATTTACTACAAACACAGGGTTTATAGAAATTGTAAAAGCGATTCACAAAATTGTTGTTGCCGCCGACATTTCTTATTTTAGCCGCTTAGCATTACACAATCACAATGTATATTTTCCATTAATGTGCTGTTTATTTTACTTTAATTATTTTTATACGAGACCTTTACGAAATTAACGAGAATAAGGCCTTAGATTTTATAAAAAACACAATTTAATATTTTTTATACACACATACATGTATATCTAGAAAATTCGTTACACAGTGAAGAATGACAGACTAGCTGTGTTATGCAAAACGAGTACCCATAGACTAAATTTAAAATTGGCAAATCACAGATGACTGCGTGGATTTGTGTTCTCGTCAACTGTTAGACTCTTTGAGAGACTTATATATGTACATGAATCCAAATTAATCAACAAATACATAAGCGTCCCAAAGGGCCCGAACAAACAAACCGTTCTAAAAATGGATACTCCTGCTCTTAGCTAACTGGAACTAAATGAGAGAGCTCATTGATATTCGTAATGCGCATGTGCCAGGCAACTACAGTATAAATTCAACGTGCAAGAATCCCGCAGGTATCTGTAATGTTAAGGAACAAAGAAAAAGGTTTTGATAGTTAAAAAAAAGGTGAATATTTTCAATTATTGAATTTTGCGAGGTATTAAGTGATGCAAACAAATAACAACAATAACAAAAGAAAAAGTATTTCTAAATTTTAGAATTCGCCATTAAATATAAAAAACCTTTCTTGAAAAACATTTTTAAGAACGAATTTTTATAAAGATTTGAAACATAAAATATCCATTTTTTTTGTTCTGTAGCAGCCAACAAATTTTCTTCGTTTTTAAATTGAGATCTATTGTAGCAGCAATTATAAATAGCAAACATAAATAATTAACACTTTATATAAGCGACAGTTTTCTATGAAGTCAAATGTTTTAAGGATGCATCGTTTTTTATAACGGGTGTTTTTTTAGAGGTATAGAACTTTAAGTTGCAATAAAACAACGATGTAATATTCGATTGACATGCCTTTTGTTTTATTCGAAAGATAATCTTGTGGCATAACATTTTATATATGATTTCTGGCATATGACCGCCACGGCTGGCTCGGATGTAGTCCAATCTGGACGCCCAATTTTCGATGACTTTTCCCAACATTTGCGGCCTTATATCGGCAATAACACGGCGAATGATGTCTTCCAAATGGTCAAGCGTTTGTGGCTTACCCGCATAGACCAATGACTTTATATAGCCCACAGAAAGTAGTCTAGCGGTGTTAAATCACAAAATCTTGGAGGCCAATTTACAGGTCCAAAACGTGAAATTAGGCGGTCACCAAACGTGTATTTCAATAAATCGAAATAAAATTGCACCATTTGCAAGCGTTGTTCAGGCGTGAGTCTATTCATGATTCATGATGAATTGCCAAACCAAACTGAGAATAAATCACTTGACAGCTGTTAAATCGGTCGCCATCTTGAACAGTGATGGCAACTTAAAGGTCTATCCCTCTAAAAAAAACACCCGTTATTTGACAATGATTGAAATAGTTTAACTACAAACTTTCAAATGTTTGTCAAAAATAAAACTTTATTTAAGTCAACCCTAATAAATTTTATGAACTATCTGCATACTATGATTTTTATATTTACTTCGAGTTATATTTTAAAATATGATTTTTTAGCTAAAAACATAAGAGAACGCTATAGTCGGGTTGGTGTCCCGACTATCTATCTATCTATCCCGTCACTTGGCTAAAGGGAGTGCCAGGGAGATGGATATATAACATTTTTTTGATTGCGTATAACTTTTTAATGAATGGTACGATTTGAAAAATGTCTTCTACATTTCGATAGGTATAAATATACACAACAAAATTGCATTTAAAAAACACATAATTCCGCTGCGTAGGAAGCCCAAGAATATATGTGGGAAATCTCAACCTTCTAGCTTTTGTCGTTTCCGAGATCTCAGCGTTCATACGGACAGACAGACGGACATGGCTATATCGACTCGGCTAGTGACCCTGATCAAGAATTTTTACAATTTATAAGGTCGGAAATAGAGGAGAAATAATCGATGGGAAAATCGATAGATCGATTTTAAATTATATTTTACAAACATCGATGTTCCATCGAAAAAACGTCGATGTTTTTTTAAGTAAAAATCAAATTTTGCCACGTTTTCCGAGCTGAACTGGTCAGAGATATTTGTTAAATTAAAAAACAAAATGCTTATACATACAACTAATCGATTTAGCGTCGCTTGTGAACGGTTGTGTTTACCTGTGCTCTGAGTTTTTGATTTACTTTTGTGATTTTTTCGCAAGTGTTTTGTGTTTAGCTTACTAACAAAGTTTGCCTAACAATCGCGTTAGTGTTTTATCTATGTTTAACGGGTATGTGGTTGAGTTATTTTAACAATTTCCATTAGATTTGTTTAATATCTTGGCTTTGTTGGTGTTATTTTGCACTCTCTAAATTTGCTCTTGAATTCTCTCTCTTTCTCTCTCTCTCTCTTTTCCGCTCAATTATAACTGTAATTTCGCTCTCTCGGAACCTGCCAAATTTCTTGTAGACTCTTGGGTGCTTTTCTCATAGTCTCTCTCTCACTCGCTTTACATTGTAACTGTTCGTTTCGTTTAGTTGTTGGTGCCCCACAAGCCACGCTCAGTCGATTGAACACTTTTTCTCTCGCGCTCTCTTGCTCTCAACTTAATTCGCGATCTCGCGCTCTTATACTTTCGTGTTTTGTGTTTTTTGCGGTTTTGAAATTTGATCCCAGTGCCAAATTTACTCGAGGTATATTTTCAACATTTAATTTTCTATTTCTTTAAATAACCTTTTTTTCCTATAAAATGGCCCTTATCTGTACAAAGAAAAGTTGTTCTCTTCCGATGTCAACCAAAGATTCTTTTGTTATCTGTTGGCTCTGCGATTCGGTCATGCACGTCAAATGTGCAGGATTTACTGGCAGAGTTAAAGACTTCATTGAAATGCGTACCGGTCTCATGTGGGCATGTGAGTCCTGCAAGGAAATGACAGTCGAAATGAGCATCTTTACGAGGCAGACTCGAGACGGACTATTGAACCTTTCACGAGTTTTCAAACAGCTCAATGACGGGTTCAACTCAGTTTGTGACCAATTTAATAATAAGAAATTTTTATTAACCGAGTCGCCTAAACGCAAAAAAGCCAGCTCAGGGGCGGTTAATAAGACCGTGAAACAAAACAAAACATTGAACTCGGTTGCTGCAGCAGTTCCGGTCGGCACAGGGGTAAGCGAGCCACCTGTGCATATGGTAACAGCCAGTTCCGGAGGTGACCCTGTTTCTGGATGCCGACCTGAGGCACAGAAGTCGGTGCTGACCGTAGATACAGTAGGAACCGCTTCTGGGTCACAGCCGAGTGAGGTTCAGACTGCTGCTGGGGGGCATAAGAAACTTTCAGTTGTTCCACATAGGAAGCAATTGAAATCTGAGGATGTTATGGAATTCATACGTGAAAAATTCCCATCCGAGGACATTGAAGTTGAACAATTTCGATTTTCGTACGCCCGTAGGATATCTTCTTTTAAAATATTTGCTCCGCCTGATGTGTTTAATGTACTACTTTCTGAAAGCTTTTGGCTTAATGATGATTTGGTAATAAAAGAATTTGTTCCCAATAAACCGAGAACAAATAACAGGCCTCCCACTGTGCCTAATAATCGGCTTTCCACTGTGCCTAATAATAGGCCTTCCACTGTGCCAAAAAACTAACAGGTTTATTTTTGGCTTATCAAAATGTTAGAGGACTAAATATGAAGCTACCAAAGCTTTATGCTGACTCCTCTGCATTTACTGAAGATATTTTGGCTTTTACGGAAACTTGGCTGAAACCAGAGATATCTGACTCTGAAGTTTTGTCAATGAACTTTAACACCTACAGGACCGATCGCTTCCCGCGTAGGGGGGGTGGTGTACTGATTGCCGTTACCTCTAGTTTAACATCGGAAAGACTTAACTTAATCTGTTCTATCCTTTCTTTCCAACAGAGACCTTTTGATTGTTTTGGGTGACTTTAATCTCCCAAATATCTCTTGGTCTCTTCCCACTGACTCACTTGTCGCTACTCCTTTATCCGCCCATGATTTTGTGGATGGCCTTTTAGAATTATCGTTACAGCAAGTAAGCTTTATACGAAATTCATTAAATAGACAATTAGATCTAGTATTTGTTTTAGATCCGCATGAAGTCACTGTAGCTAGAATTGACGCACTTGTTTTACCTGAAGACCGATATCATCCAACTTTGGAATTGACAATTGGCCTCCCCTGTACTGATACCCATTCTCCTTTAGTTCCTCAAACTAAAAGGAGATGCTTTCGTAAATGTGACTATAATAAACTAAACTACATGATTTCGCAATATAATTGGACTGATTTGTACAATTGCATGGATATTGACAGTGCAATTTAACTTTTCTATAGCGTTTTAAACACTTTTTTTGACGAACGCGTTCCTGACAGTCTTCCTCCGAAGCTAAACAGGCCTCCTTGGTTTAACAATGAGCTTCAAAGACTTAAAAATCTTAAATCCAACACTTATAAAAAGTATAAAAAAACGGGAAAGCCATCTGATTTTGCGAAATATGTTGTGGCTCGTTCAGATTTTAATGTTCTCAACAGTCATTGCTATTCCATGTATTTAAATCGATGTAAATTCGAGTTTTCAAATGATCCGAAGCAGTTTTATAACTTCGTTAATGCCAAGCGTAAGTCTTCGGCATTGCCTTCATCGGTACGTTTAAACTCAAAAGAGGCATCGTCGGATTCTGAAATTTCGGATTTATTTGCCGAGTTTTTCCAAACTACTTATAGTTCGGCTGCTTGGTCAAACCCTATCTACCCTAACCCCTTAAATAGGGCTAATTGTATTTTTACCCCTGTAGTTCCGAAAGTTCTCTTTTAAAGGATTTAGCAACAACAACGCCAACGTATTCTCCCGGTCCTGATGGACTCCCTGGGAGTGTGCTTAAGTTTTGTGCTTCAACCATTTGTAAACCGATTCTTAAACTTTTTCATTTGTCTATTTCATCATCAGTTTTTCCAACTATCTGGAAGGACTCTTTCATTATTCCACTCCACAAAAAGGGTGCGAAGGCGGATGCCCAGAATTATAGAGGCATTTCTAAATTGTCGGCAATTCCTAAAGCATTTGAATGTATTATTACTTCTCATTTGCAGCATTTATGTTCCTCACTAATATCACCGTGTCAGCATGGTTTTGTTAAGCGAAGATCGACCACCACCCACCTTCTTGAATTGTCATCTATTGTAATAAATGGATATAAGAATAACATGCAGACTGACGTTATATATACAGATTTTAGTA